TCGCATTCGAGCTTGTTGCTGCTTATATAACCGATCCAAGCAAGAGCAGCATTTTGTGCCACAAAACACCTTTTGCTACCAGCCACTGACTGGGCACAAAAATAAATTTTAAATGAATGGAAATATACCCTTAAAACAAAAAGCAGTGTGCGCTACCTAAGCACACACACATACATGCAAATACGCATACATACGAGTATGTGCGCTTATGTATATATGTATATAGGTATTTGGTGTGTGTGTGGAAGTAAAGCTTCGTGTGCTGCTCACTTTCTATGTGTTGAAATTTTCGGTGCGCTCACACTCGAATTAAAAAGCTGCCAAAGGATAAACAAAATTGCGTTGTGCGAATATTATTCAAAAGTAAAAGGAAGGACTAATGTTGGGTTAAGCTGACAGCGCTGGGCCCTACGAAGTTTCCCTCTTTACTCTAATATGAAATGCTTTAGCAATCAATTCGATTAAATTTGCAATATAATGGATAATTCATACTTCAATGAAAAAGAAACAATTCGAATAAAAAGTATCCCAATAATGCAAATAGAACCTGTGGTACAATTTTTTGTGGCAAATATTTGATAGCAATATTTGCTCGAATGGTAATGTGATCAGCAGCACGTTTGAGATAATAGTTATATCTAATAATTGCTGCAAAGATAGTGAAAAATTGGTTTTATATTGAGCAAATCCCAAATCAACACAAATTACACTAGCGTACAAATTTCAACAAACTTGCAATTTATAATTTACGCACGGATTTTGAAAAATTAACAATGCTTTGTATATACTTTCTACCGATGTAAATCCGCTGACAAATATAGAAACTATTAGTTATTCCGTGAAAATAGTTTTTTTAATTTATATTTTCTTTTTTATAGTAAGATAATTTATTCTTTTTATTATAGTCAGATAAATTATTCGCAAAAATAATCAAATATTTGATCCATTTTTAGAACTTTTTATTATTAACATTAAAAAATCGGAAAACTTATGTATATGCCCTCTATTTGAATGAAGGGTGCAGAAAAAGAACAACCTTTTTGTTGTAAATTGCCAGCTATTGAGGATAGAGGAGTTTCTTGAAAGCTTTGCACCAGCTTAATGTCAATTTATATTTAAATGAATTGTTAATCCACTACACAAAAATATCATCAATAGCAGCAACAATAAAGGGGGTTAATGGAAATAGGGCAGCCCCCCATATATTATCAAGCTATAAGTTTGCGTGTTTCAAGTCAAATCGATAACAAATATAGTAAAAGAGGTAAGAAAGTCTGCAATTTATTCGTATGTAAGTCATGCAATTCCGATATATTGCTATTGCGATTTATTTGCACGGCTATTCGTCACACACCAGCATAGTGTTATTTCAATTTATATAGATGTAGATACGTTTGTGCGCCCGTTTATTCGGAAGCATTTGGGGCTTTGCCGATATATCTTATGAGATTTGTAAACAACTAGCTTGCCAATAATAAAAATTGCAACTATTTTTGTCCGTCTCCCCATTTGGCATTTCATAAATATCAATTAGTAAAATTAGCTTTCTACACATACATAGTGTGTACAGCCAAGTCTGTTTTCAATCCAAAAATCATTCACATTTCACTCGATTTCTCTTATTCTTCAATACCTCATAGACGTCAAGTTAGAGATAAACTAAATTTAAAATTTTAAGTTGCGTAAAATGAGAACTATTTCCGCTATATAATTCATTTTAATTAGGCAGTCAAACGATATGTGATAGTATAGATGCACAACTATTGATGTGGCTCCACTTTTTGCAACTATCGATGGTTTTGGGAGAAGAACAAAAGTTTAAAATCGTTAATCAATCATTGAAAGTAAGAAAAAGTCACTCTATATGTGACTAGTAGAACTTTTTACCAAATTTTGTCCTCATTTTTTTTTGAAATAAATACAATAAAAGACTTTTAATAAGTATTCAAGTATAACCAGAGCTCAGATGCACAAAATATAGATCCAGATAGAATTAACAAAATAAATTGAGCTCTCATTTCATACATATAATTTTTTTAGGGTATGATTGAACAAAGAACTTTCATTGTTTATCTTAAATCAAAAGAGCAATTTTTTAAAAACATTAGTTATGATGACGGTATTGTGTTTTTAATTTATAACGAATGTGGATTTTCTTTAGGCAGTCCGTATGGAAAATGTGTCGATGATTTAAATATATAACTGTTGAAAATTGGAATGGCTTTAGTATTAAATAGCTAATTTTCACAGAATCAGGTAAGATGATGATTATCAATCCGAAGAACTATAAATTAAATTAAAAATTTAGTATGTCAGGCTAATCAGTAAATGTTTTCAACCGAAACAAGTGGAATGTTAAAGTCATACCAGCCCGACTATTAAATAGCCTGTAACGTCATTTTTCCACTACAACCTTTCTACTTAAATATCTGTAATTCTTCAAATCATTCCTATGGCATAATTTAAAATACTGAGGCTATATATGGGACCATCAATAAATTCGAATAATACATCCATAGCTTCGATAGTTTTGCTAATTATTTATAAATTTCCATTCAGTTGCTTTAGTTTGGCAAAATTTAAAGGCGTGCCATGCACAAAAGTAATTGATTGTGTCGGCGCTTGGCGCCAACACGAATTTTGGCGCCGAATATATACATATATATGTATGTGTATATATATTGGTAGTACATGAACAATTACTGGCCTTGGCATCGGCTTTGGCTGCATTTTTTTTCTTTTGCTACATTGGGCGTAATATGAACCACTTTGGTGCCTGGAAAAATTTTGCTATGGTCTAGCTCTTGTGTCCTCAGTGCTTGGCACTTGACGCTGCCTTCGGCTCCCCGCTTCCATTCTCCCATCTGCATTGTTTTTGTTTACGCATATTTTGCCTTGGTTTGATAACGACAACAACAAAAATAAAAAGGAAGTTTGTTTTCTGTTTATTATGTAAATAAATACAGCTGATGTGGGTTAAGCAGCAGTACACCTCTATATGCAGTGGAAAGTTTTTGTGGGGGACTCGAAGTTGCTAGGAATTGGCACATGGGAAACATTTTTCGTTCGAACGAATGTTGATGTTCGGTGTGTTTTAGAAACCCTAGAGTAAGGAGTAAGTGAGAAATAAACGAATCGAAACTACATTAAAGCGGAAGCGCTAGTTGTTATTGTTATTGTACCCTTTGTCTTTCAAATTTAAAACATTTATTTACAGTCATCTATACTTTTTCGTTTCCTTTCTCTTTCGTGAGCCTCTTTCCAAATAATAATAATAATATCATTGGTAACTATTTTTTTAATTTAGATTATAAATTTTATAAAATTGTATTTGTTCTTCCATAATCCGAAATCCCTAAAATCAAAGTAATTCTTCTTTCTTTAAATAAATTATCTAATAATAATAAACCCGATGATAATAATAATAATAGTAATTATCCAATAAAAAATATGAACATTTTATTTGGATAAGCAATTGAAATGTATGCAGAAATGTTAAATAGATGCTAATTCCAATCATTATTTTCAAAATATTCCCATCTCTATGGCTTCATCTAGGGACTATCCAGCAATTTTATAACAATTAGCAGCTTACCGTACCTTAGCTGTTTTTTGCGTAAAAGGGAATGTTTCGTAACTTTAAACTTGTGAAAGCATTCACTTTAATGTAATTAGCTGTATTATGTGCATTATGAAGTATGAGCTGTATAAACAATTGAATTCGTTTGCTTGGGGCTAACAGCTTGACAGAAATTGCTCACAAAAAAGTTGAAAACTATTTTGCTGGCGCTACTTGGCAGTCGCTAGTGGAATATCATATACAAAGATGATGCCGACAGGCGAATACAACACTTATTTAAAACATGTATTTCTATAGGTAAGTGAGCAGTTATGTACTTTCGCTCTCACTCTAACCCATATAGATCAGATCAGCTATATACTGAGGATGCATGCCATATGCCGCCAATTCGTTTGCCATGGCCAGAATGCAATCAGACAAGCACGAAGTTCATTTCTTATTTTTGGCGTCCTTTTTTAATTTTGGCACGGTGTCAAAATGGTTGTTATTGTCTCTGTCGTTTTAGTTGTTGTTGTTGCGGCGTCTACAAATCCAATTGGACAGAGCTAAGCTTTTTGGCCCGAGCAAGCAGCCCCCAACCAATGCCATTGCCAGCCTCAATGCAATTTTCCTTTGCCACATAAGGCTAGCAAAAGAGAACGTATATAAGTAGATTCGTTGTACATGCATGTGTGTGTGTGTGTATGTGTGTGTGGGAGAGCAAACGAAAATGCTCAAAAAGCTTAGGGAGATTTTTAAACTCTGCCCTAAGGTATTTGAAATGTTTTAAAATATTAATGCTAACAATTTTGGCACAACAAGGAAATGATCAAATATTTAAAGAAGACGGAAAACCTTTTGCATAAAATTGAGGTATTATATGAAATATTACGGTTGTTATATTATATTTTCATAAATCACGTGCCCGCTTCTTGTTTTTTTTTTTTTTTTTTGACAGAACACTGCATTCCCATATCGTTTAGGTTACATATTTACGTTGAAGTCGCCGCGACGTGCGAACTTGGCAAATAATTTACATGTAAAATATTTGCTATTCTTGTTGATCCATTTGCGCATTGCTTTGTTGTGCAGCTAGCTTCGATTTTGACGTTTGCTTTAGCGAAAATGCAGAACGACAACAAAATAAAGAAACATGCTTAAACATCTACAAAGTACATTATCTGGAATTTACATTATTTTCGAAACCCTTGATTCGTCGATTTAAATCGAACAACTATTGTCTCTATAGCAGGAGCACGTGCATTGCATATTTGTATCTACATAGATACATATGTAAATGTATATCTATATATGTACATGTGCAGGACTTTGCGCATGTGTGTCTGTGTGAGCGCGCGCTCACACACAGCATACGTCGTTGTCCCTTATTTTTCCAATTTATATATATTTCATTTTTTCACTAAGAACCCAAGCAACGTACCAACTTTTGACTTGGGTTAGCTTTGGGTCGCTGCTGCTACTTGGGCTGCTGCTACTGGTTTTAAGGGCGGATTTTTCACACAGACACAAAGGAGGAAGCGCGTCGTTTTGAACTTTTAAACTTTTCGAAAAATTTGAATGAAACGAGAATGTTGTTTATTTATTCTTTTTGTTGAATGCACTCTATTCAGTTTCAGTTTCTGTTGTTATCCAAAAACACTAAAACTGAAATTCGTTAAACGATTATTTTGCGTTTTCGTGGAGCTTTGCTCGAATTTTCACGACCGTTGATTTGTGCTTTCCGTTGCAAACTGATTCGAGGGAGCTCTGATACCAATGTGGGAAGCTCTCACAGTGTGCTGTGGTGAAAATAAATTCATATTCGCTGACACTCGCGCACACGACGCACTAAACTTTGGGTTTGTGTAGGCACACACATATACAGGAAGATTTTGTGCTGGACAGGACATGCGGCTAAAGGTATAACAATTTTTAGCAACGTTATACACACATATATGTATGTACATACTTTACATACATACACACGTATGCGTAGACAGTTTTAGATAGCTTCACTTTCATTGATTGCCGTTTGTGTCTGTGTGTGTGTGTGTGAAAGGAGGCCAGCAGGCGCACAGGCTTTAAAGCTAAGCGTAGCACGTGGTTCCAAGGGGGTTGAAAAGAGCTTTACTATTGGTGGTTGAAATGAACACAAAAATGTAAGGTGAGGCCAACAGCATAACTGGAAAGGGTATTTAAACACATTGAAATTTTTAAATATCAGTTGGACAGTAATTTGATTTATTTTTCATTTCTCTTTGTGCTTGCTTTACCGCCATTTACTAATTTCAAATTCAATGCAATTTCATTTTCTGCACAAGCGTGTGGCAACACTGTTTGTTCACAATAGCATCGTATTCAACGAGCACTGTGAATAGCTAACGTATGTGTGAATGGCAACGTTTTGTTGTTGTTTCACAAAATTTTTTGTCATCGATTTTTAAAATTGTCACTTTAATTCTGGAAATACTCGAAAAGTGTACGTTGCAATAAGCCGAAATGGACGCGTAAGTAAAAACCGGTCAATACCATAACTGAAACAAATGCCAGAATACATTTATTCCCAGCTTGGAAGACGAAGTAGCAAGTCTAGAAGCAATTTTGATGGACGATGTACGTATCGTGCGAAACGCCAGGTAAGGCCGATATTGAAAATCTGTATTTTCAAGTACATGCATACATATACATGTATATACATATATATATTGTGCTAACAAAAACGTGGTATTCGTGGCAGCGGCGCCGTCGACATCATTGAAACCACTGTGCTGCCCCTGAGTGGTGAGGAAGAGGAACAGCAATACATTTGTGTGACTCTGCAGGTGCTGCCTCCAACCGGGTATCCGGATGTAAGCCCCACGTTTAAGTTGCTGCGGCCGCGCGGCCTGGATGATGCACGCCTAGAAGCCATACGTAGCGCCTGCAATATGAAAATTCAGGAGTCGCTTGGTTTTCCGGTTGTCTTTGATCTGATCGAGGTGGTGCGCGAACATTTGACCGGTAGCAACTTGCCCAGCGGCCAGTGCGTCATATGTCTGTATGGATTTTGCGAGGGCGATGAGTTCACGCGCACTGAGTGCTTTCACTACTTGCATAGCTACTGTCTAGCGCGTCATCTGAACGCCTTGCGTCGCAACTATCAGGAGGAGTACGACAAGCTGCCCGCTTGGCTCCAGAAGACGGCCGATCCATTTCAAGCGCTGTGTCCCGTCTGCCGGGAGCACATCGCCGACGAATCGGACAGCCTTAAGTGTGCCATGCCGCCGTCGGAGCTTGAGAATGCGCCCGATTTCAAAGTGACGCGCGAGTTGCGCGAAATGCAGCACAGGATGTCCCAGCTATATTTGCAGCAAAAGAGTCGAGGGGCTATTATCGATGTGGAAGCTGAGACCTCCACTGTCATATCTATAGAAACCGAGGAGGATGTACGCCGTCGCCGTTTGCGCGAGGAGGCCGAAGCTGCTAAAAAGTTGGCTACACCATCGCAGGAGGCCACTAGCAGCACCAACACCAAGGCAGTGGTGAGCAGCACCTTTTCGCCGGTTGTGCAGGAGACTCAGCGCATTATGCCCGAGCCGACCAACAACAACTATCAGCATCACAATCGACGACACTATCGCGGCGGCCGCCGTCATCATCATCATGGCCACGATCGTCATCATCGCATGGAACGTGAGGTTGCCCAAGGCAGCTCCACTAACAATACAAATGGCGCTGGAACAGCCACCAGCAACTCTAATTCCAACTCGAATCCCACAACTGTTAAGCAGCCGAAGGCTCAGGCTGCTGGCATTGCCCATGCCAGGTGACAATGGCGCTCGGGGTCGGTCAGCGCTTCCCAATGCACAAGGTCAGCATGTGGGCCTGTGGTCGCGCTTCGAATACAACAATTCCAACTACCAAATGATGTGCGATCAGCGCTGCCATGTTGCTAATACACAATGAATCTTCTGCCCCCAACAAGAAAGAACTTACATTTACTTTTAATTTATAATGCACTCGTTTCTGTGAACTTAATTTATGGCGCATCTTTATTTACGCACAAGCTACGCTTAGTTTTATCCGGCAGGAGTAGACGGAGGAGTACCAGCTGCCGGCATTTTGTGTTTGTATTTAGTTAGCATTAGCCTTTAAAATGAAGTGAGTAGCTAATTTCGAATTATTACTTTAGTTCTATATGTGTAATTTGTAATTGTTTACAAAAGACTTGAGGCAAAGTCGCCAAACATAGCGATTTGTCAACGATGTTGATATTTTTAAGAACTTAAATGTATATGAAAAAATACGAATAAGAACGAGAAGAGCAGCACAATTTGGCAGCGCTGGCGTTGACGAGCACATCCAAAACATAGTTCGAATGATATTAATATTAATACAATATATATAACTATAAAAATGTATACATACGCTAAATGGCAGAAAATGGCACAAAAAAAAGAAAGAAACAGACATGATTTCATTGATACGAGTATAGTACTTTAGGCACAGTAGCTGTAGAACGTGTGTAGAATCTGCGAATCGGCTCGCTTTTAGATCGCTAAAGCGCAATTCTAGTCAGTTTTTTTCAATAAGACGAGTGTGCCACACAAGGAGCAAAAAAAAACAAGTAAAACATACACCCAAGATATTATGCTAGATACATACACTCGAATATTTACATAATTAACTACTAAAATTTACCGTTTTTGAGTAGCAAACAAATCTATCCATTCGGATAGAGACAAAGATATCGATATTACTACAGAATCCATGTCAAAGTGTCAAAATTTAATTGAACTAATAAATGAAATCTTCAAATCAACAAAAATATTGTTTATTATTTATTCTAAATTTAAATGAAATGAAATTTAAATTGTGCTTCTCTGTTACCCTCTTCCACAACATTATCATTTTTAATCAAGACGCAATTACAGCGTTTGAAGCCAGCGATGGCTAAGAAGCGACAAGAATTGGCCAACAGGACAACGCCAAATCATACAGCCCCGTGCAGTTCGGATACGGCGCCAAGTTTTTTTTTTGTCTGCTTTCTCTTCGCCCATCCCTCGAAATTGAGTTGAGATCATTTGGAATTTTGTTATAATTTCTCTTGTAAATGTTTATTTTCCAATGAATTTATTTTTTTAATTTAATAGAATTACAAAAAACGTTTAATGCTTTCTTTTCCTTTCGTACAACAAAATAATTTAGTATTAGTATTTTACAGTATTTATATAAACTCTCGTTTTAGTTCGCATCGGTTTATATATTTTGTTTTATTTTTTCATTTCGCTGCATATAAAAACACAATAATTATGCATTATAAAAAATCTGTGTGGCTTCCTAACAATTACATAATTAATTAATTAAACTTACGATAATGACTTTTAGTATATATGTAATTAAATATTTTCATTACTCGGCTTACATCTTTTTTACTATTAGTTGTAACAGAACAAAAGTAATAATTTTTCGCTTATTTTGGTTACATGTATTTTTTTTTACCGAATATCTCTGGCAATGTCCAATAGTCCAAATAGCTCTAGGATCCGGGCACCGTCAAACTGGCGATTTTAACGGCGCGGACAGACACAGAGACCGGTCGGATATTTGGCAGAGTATTCAGAATTTCATTCGAATGTTTCTTTTTTCTACAATTGATGTAAATTTTATTTCAATTTCTTTTTCTTTTCTTTTTAATTGCCTTAAAGCACTTGGAGTGTATTTTGCATTAATTTATGTTTAGTTTTCTTTTATGTACTCGTATATACAAATTATAATTTTGGGAAAACTTTATGTAACTAGTAAATAAAAGTAGTAGGCATTATAAATTAGTTGTAGCAGTAAGTAGTAGATATTAGTGGCTTTAGTTATTTTTTATTAGTATTAGTAGGTTGTATGCTCAACTTTGTGTGCTAGCTATGTGTGTATATTTCGGCATGTGTCTTTTACGCTTTCGAAAAGTGTTTCTTCAGTATTCATTGTGGAGCTGCTTTAAAGCCTAAGCGGGAATTGGGCTTAATGCTTAATGGGCATGGGGGAGTTCTTAAAGGTTAGTTTGTAAATATTTATAAAATATATATTTATAAATGTTTTTAGGGCACTTTAGAGCTGCAACATACTATACATAGGTTTATGTATATCAGATGTTTAATTTCTATAAACTGGGTACTGTTGTTGTTTAGTTTGTGTAGCTTGTAGGTGTAGGGTGTAAGTGTTTTTTGTGTAGTCGCCAATGGGCAGCTACAATTCACAAATGTATTAGTTTAAAACTTCAGTGCGCAGTTAGTTATTAATTTCTTGATTTTTTGTTTTGTTTTTAATTTGTTGTTTTGTTATTTCGCATATTTGTGTATAATTGGCATCTTCTGTGTTTACAGCCTAAATGGCTCACGCTTCTCTGTGGGCGTAGTGCCGCGCGATGTGCGTCGCATAGTCGAGCTGAACGTTGGCTCGGCCGAGCTCTTCCGGGGCGTTTGCATTCCCGAAGGCGTGGAGCTGCCGCTTATGTTGCGTCTATGCGGAATTTAAGATGAAAGATAACAATTAATTTCAATACAACAAATTTGCTAGAAATCCAAATCAACTTTATCAACGTTAAACAACAAAAGCCTTACAAACTGTTTTAATATGATTCTTTTTCTCAACTAGCTTTTTTCATTCGAATAAAGTGTGCATTAATTGCTACTTGAGAAATCGAAACTTCAAGCTTAAACATTATTTTTATAGCACAATAAAATCAGTTGTATACATTTTAACAAAGCGCCATTTCCAACATTTCTCTTAAGGTCAGATTCATATGAAATGTTTCTATTGTTTCTATTGCTTTAAAACGTCAATTTTGTTTAGTGTAGCCTTGTCTCTCAATTTTCATGCTTACTTTATTAATTTTTTTTTTTTTTTTAAATGAGAAGATATTTATTTTTGATACTAAATTTCAAGGCTTCAATTATTTGTAATTTATTTTTATAAAATGAGTACACAAAAGTATGCTGCACTTTATTTCAATTGTGTTTCATTCCACTATTCTAGTGACTGCCATAGAAATGTTGCTACTATATTTGGAGTAACTGGAATTGAAACGGAAAGCACCAATTTGTTTCGAAAAAGTAAAGGGCGCCTCTCGGCCATCTTATTCTGAATATACTTTGAAAGATGCTGAGATCTAAAGCGTAAATATTTCAACAAAATGCATATCAAAAAGCATAGGCATGCGCTTTTGCAATTGTTTCTCATGCTCTGTAAAGTGCACATTTAAGTTTAAAATATATGTATATATAAATATACAAATAAATAAGCGTAACATAAATGTATCAAAAACAAGTGTTGGGTTGTCAAAGAAATCATTGAATATTTATCCTAGATGTGCATAAATTTAATTAAAATAAAACCTGGGGACAATATTCAAGTTTTCCATGAGTCGCCAATAATAATAAAATTTTATATAAATTATGTAAATAAAAAATGAATTACTTTTTATATTAAGTTGACATTTTGGCTACAGGGTTTTTTGATATTAGATTGTATTACACATTACCCCAAGCTATTTGGATTCGTAGTCGAGCTGGTGGGCGATGTTGAGTTAGCTGACTTGGAATCAAATGAGGGTATCTTAACCGGTATCCTTGATGGGCGCCTTTGGTACGTTAATGTAGTAGCATAAGTAAACCAAAACCAAATTTTATGATTAAATACTACAGCATACGTATAGAATTAAGCTTAATAATGGCATAAAACTTACACAAATAAATTTAAATACGATATGTAGGTGGTATTTATGAATAGTTTAGTTTTATTATTATTTGTTTAGCATTACCTAGGTTTGAAGCCGAAGCCTGTTAGTGCAGGTATACTGGATGATCTACTCATGCCGCCGTTGCTGTATATAGTTTTTTTTTTCAACCCAGGCATAAGTTTGTTCAATTTTGCGTTTATATGTTGCGGTTAGTCGCATATTTTGTAATTTTTTTTATGATTTTTTCAAGCAAATATTGCAATATGGTATAAAAATGCCAATTCATATTGTTGAGGGTTAGCGTTGTATGATGTGGTTGTTGGAGTTTTATGTTTGAGTGTATATTGTTGTTGTTGTCAAAAGTTAATGCAGTAACCGAAAAAAAATTTCAAAAATAAATAAATTAATAAAATGTACGTTCGATTAAATTATCAATTTATTCTTCCCGCCCTAAGTGCCTGCCCCCAAATGAATTTTACGTTGTAGATGAGTCGATGACTTACCTTGTGGGCGCTGGACTCGCAGAACCGGAAGCGGTTTTACGTGTAATTGTGCTAGTGCCGTTCAAACGACTGCCCGGCGTTGCCGTAGTCGTAGTCACTGACAAACGAGCGGGACGTGGTGTGGTACCGGTACCGCTGCCAGTACTGGCCGTCGATGGCTTGCGTTGCGGAATGCGTGAGGGAGTGTGATCGTCTGCAAGAGATCGAGGGAAAACTTATTTATTGGAAACCATAATCCAAATGTATTTATCAGAAACTATTCGGATGCGGAGTATTGTTGTAAGCAATACATAACATAATAATTTCAGATATGTACTATACCTACACGTTAGATGCCTACGCATTAAATGACTATTATCGGATAGATATTTTAAACGTAAGATTTCAACCTTTCAGATGACTATGTGTCAGATATACTGATGTTGATGCACATTGGAAGAGTTTTGATTGTCGATGTATGAGATTTGTGTCTTGAACTTTACGAACAAAATAGAATAAATGAATAAAATATTATCTTACCCGTGCTATCCAGCGACAATGTTGAGCCTTGCCGCGAAGGCGGCTTCGAGCCTTGTCTACTAAGCGGGCGTGAGTTCGGTTTAGAGCCAGCTCGTGAGCCTCCTGGCGTGAGGCCCGTGCGCGTGCTCATGTAGGTTACCTTGCGTGGCGTATAACGGCCCGATGGTCCGCCATGGCTACCCTCGTTGTCGCTGAGCGAGTCGGGTGTCGAGGCAGAGAGCGACGAGCGTGATGGCCTGGACATGGGTATGGAGCGCACAGAACGCTCGCGTACCTGTGTTGGAATATGGGAAATGTGATGGTTAGATTATACTCAATGGGAATTTCACAACCCTTTTGTGCCCAACCAATAGAAACACTAATGTGATCATAACTTTCAGCAGCTTCTCGTAACCGTCCTTATCAGTCATCGATTGGACTTACCCAGTGTGTTGTTGGATGACAATGCAGCACGTGTGGACTCAACGGGACCGAGCGGCTTGTATTACATCGAACGAATACTGTGCCGCCGGCGCCCATGTGAATGGGAAAGGCGCATGGAACTTGGTCTTGTGCACGTATTTTCTCGAATATTGGCATAAGTTCGGCCAAGTGCTCATCGGCTATGTTTATATAAGTATACAGAGAATGTTTGTGTTTCATTTAACCAACTATGCATTTGAATATGGACTGACAAACGGTATATGATCATTTAAGCCAAGACTTCAGTATACACTGTGCCCAATGCTGGTACAAGCTCCAGCAATGGCAAGAACACATAGCCTAACCTCTATAGCAGTTCAACCTGTAGCTGTGTATGTTTTACTGAACATCTTTAGCTAAGCCTAGTTAGCATTAACTCAAAAGTCACAACATAAATCAAAAATGTATAAATTGTCTTACATAAAAAAGAAAACTAAACACGATAGCAACAACGAAAGTTCTCATGCACAAATATAAATTGAAGGCGCGCCGATATGCCTCACTTTCTAGCAGCAGCGGCAATAGCAGCAGTGATGGAGGCAGCGACAGCGTCAGCAGCGAGCTTTGTCAACAACACACAACAAACCCAAACACAACTTACCTTACAACTGGGGCGGTCAAGGGAATCAGGATAGATAGTATGGAAAAAATACTTTGAATGGTCCAACAAAACAAAAACAATTTCCATCTAGTGGATTCCATGTAAGTGTAAATATTAATAAATTTAGTTTTGCAATATAAGGCCTGTTTTCTGAGGTTGTTGGTATTTTAGCAATTAGCAATTACTCTTATAAGCAGGTAGGCCTGGTTAAGAAATTTGTTGTTCCAGCTATACTATTAAATACGAACGATTTAAATTTAAATTTACATTTACCTATCAAGAGCAATCCGTTATTTTTTGTTTTAAAACACTGGTTGGCTGGCCAAGTATTCAAAGCAATTCACAACACTAGTGTAAATAGGTAAATCAACATTGTCAAAAATGATGTTCCTGCAGGAGTAACGGTCATTCCTACTAAACATTTTTAAATAGTTCGAACAGTGTTCGTAAAAATCGATTGCCATAAAATGCTGATTAAAATTAAATTTTAAAATGAAATATTTGTAAATTGGAACATTTTTGTGTGTAAGTAGTGTGTCTGTCGGACGATACCTTCCGATTTGTATAAATTATAAAATTGATTGCTTTAAAATGTCAATCATACTTTTTAGTCCTAATCTTACATTGATTGTTTCCAATTCTGCTTTTCCATTAATCAAATCAAATATTTTTGAACAATAATTACCTAACTAGAAATTGAGTTGTCTTTTTAGCTTCAAAACTTTTCCTAACTTGTTTTTGTTTTGATGAGACCGCCAAAGTATGTACTTCTTTATGGGGTTTCTATGAGGTTTCGTATTCGTATTGCTCAGTTTGCATTTATTTGTACCCACATTGTGTCTGGTTTTCACTTTGATTTACCTTTATAATTGGACCCTGTCCACTTAAATATGGCGGCAAGTTTGAGCTGCCGCCATTTTGTGCGGCATTGGCAGTGGCAGCAGCATTGGGCGTGGAACGTCTGGGCGTGAATGCGGCCATGCTCTGTGAGACGCCATCGGCCAAAATGAATTGCTCGCGTAGCTCAATGTTAGTGCGTCCCTTGGCTGCTCCGATTTATGCGCATACACATATTATGGAATATGGACACATATATATGCAAATATATATACATGTTTTGTGTTTTGTTTTTGCAATTTTTGTTGTAGGGCGAACATATAACAACAACAATAACAACGAAAGTTTGTTACCGCAAAATTTGTCAGCGTATTGTTTTTCACAATGAGTGTGTGGTTGTGTGTTTTTGGTATTTGTATAAATTTATATATGTATTTTTTTTAATTTTTTTTTTTTTTGGCGAAAGGCGCAGGCAGGTGCATGTGGGCGGGCGGGCGAGCGGGCGGGCGGAGCAGTTGGAGTTGCAGTGAGCACGCAGAGAGAACACATATTTTGACATACAGATCGTTTATGGGCATTATATTAGCGCATATTTTTTGATTCGGTTTCGATTTTCAAAATAAACACAAAATATATATTTGGAAAAAAGAAAAAAAAAAGGGGAAACATAAATTTGGATTAGTAAAAACGAAAAACGTATACAAAATTAATACAAATTTAAGTTTTATGAAAAGGACGCACAACTCAATTCTAACGTAAAATGTGTGACATGAAGAAGTACAGCTACACCGAATATTGTCTGTTAATAAACAGAGCGCATAAGTCAAATACAGTGTGCTAACAGATCTTTAGTTTTTAAAATTCATGTTAGCCCCAGCAACTCTTAGCTGATGAACTGTTAGTTAACAGAGCGCACTGTAGCTGCAACATTAGTTATTTAATTAGGAATATAATATGAAACTAATAGCGTCTTAGGGGAAAATATCAGCATAGATGTAATTAAACAAACAACAAAAAAGCATGCACTAAAATGTATTGGCTTTTACATAGTAATACAAAAAGATTTAATGTAGGCATGTAATTATCTGTATGTGTATGCTCTATACTATATATGTATGTATGTAGTATATAATAAAAGACCAGGCGTGACCAGAGTAGCTGTACACCTAGTTAAAATGTATATTATTTAATGTGGGTAGGATAGCAAAATAGTTTTTACGCGTTAAAGTAGACAAAGCAACAATAATGAGCATGAGTACAAAATGGCAACCCTAGGCTGTTGATACGGCTTTGGGTTGTTGGTTGGCTTGGTTTGGTTTTTGGTTTGTATGACGCGCTTTCTTTTCGATGCTGGGATGTCGTAAGTATTTTATTATGTTTTAGGCAAACTTCAAAAAGCTTATGGTTAATAAATTTCATAAATTCTTTAAAGCGAATTTTAGACAAAAAATGTTTTTTAATTAAATGTCAACTGTTTTAAGGTTTGTTCTTTTTTTTGTTCAGGTTTTTTTTTTATTTGTTTTTGCTAGTACTGTTTTAGGCACAATATATTTCTTGCTGTTGGTTAAATGACCATATCCGTTTGGTAATATGTATTAATAATAATTTTATTTTAAAAAAAAGTTGGTTTAGCATTGAATAAAAATCATTAGTTGTTAAGCACAACTGTACCTATGATTGTATGTATGTTTATGATATGGGAAAATGCATGTATAAATTGTAGTTATATTTTTTTCGTAAATAATGATGCATAAGATCTAGGTATAGACAAAATGCATGAGATATGGGTGATATAGTTTGTATGGTTGTATGTTTGGTGTAGGCTACAAATTACACTAGAGTAAAAAATGTGATCGTTTTCAATTAATGATGAAGTCAAAACAAATTTGAAAATGCGTGAATGTGTTTGTGTGTGTACAACACAACTAAGAGAGTGGGAAATGGTGACTTACCGCGACAAGGATCGTTCTTCTGCAGGAATTCATCAAGTGCTACCCAACCACCTCCTACACGCACCATAACAGTGCTGCGTAGAATGCGAACCAGGCGCAACTTTTGGGAGTCACCAAACTGTAAAAATGTTAATCCAAATAAAAGCAGTTCTATAAACTACACTGCCAATTTGAAAACTCACCCTATATTTGCCTTCGCCAACTTGGAATACACGGAACTTTTGACGACACGTGCAAAGCATAACTAGACGCTTGACCTCATCGTGTATCTTATCGGAGTCGGTGGCAGGCTTACGTTCTTGCCAATCTGGGCGCAGTGCAGCAATGAACTCTTGCCAATCGATGAGTCCCTCACCATTGCGATCAAAGAGATCAGCAACAGCCTTCATTTCCAGACCGGAAGTGTCGAATTCTGCAAATTTCCAACAATACTTAGTGAGAACCTGCTGCGGAAAATCTCAGATTTGTACGTACTTGTGTTGAGTATGCCATCGATGAAGACATCGCGTGGTATCATGCCATTGTTGTCCTTATCCATTTTACGGAACAAATCGGTCAAACGTGATTTCTTGTGGTTCATGTACTTGAGGAACTGCACAGAATAGTACGTTTTAATGTCGAAATCTTTTGTTTTCTGAAAGAAAAAGCCACTTACTCGTTTGCGCCAATCATCCCAACTGAAGTTGCGGGCACGTTCCACATCCTTCAGATACATAAGATGCTCGTGCAATAGACGCTGGCGTTCCCATGAAAGCATCCAAACATCGCGCCACTTGTTCCACAGAAGTTTGGCGCGTGGCGAACGGAATTCGAGTTCGGGACCAGCAGAGCTACTTGGAAAATGCAAGTAATTAGAAAATAAATACTATAGATACCCCAGGGGGGAGATACACAAAAAGCCTTTTTTTACAATTTACGATGCAAATGAACTAGATAATAGACACATGCACAGGCACACGCACAGTTTGAGATGCACTGTGATGACGATTGATTAATTTACAATTTTCCATAATGAGACTTACCTTGGCGAAAATCTTGGCCCATAATGTGGCAAACGATCTCTATCAGGCGTATCACGTGTGGGTGTAACACGACTGTATAGATAACGCATTGATTGATTTTATGTATAGGCAAAAAAGCAGCAAAATGCATAGTTTTGATATATTTTTTGTTTTTTTTTTTTTGGTTTTTTGGTTTTGTATTGAGCATATGAGCAGAGCAACGTTTACGTTTACAGCGTGGAGTGGAGTGTGTGTAGACAAGATGAAAGTAGAATCGAAAAGAGACAAAAAACAAATGATAATAAAGTAAAAACGAAATACGCAACACAAATATTGGCAATTAACATTAATAACATACAAATACATAGTAATATTTATAATACAATTGTACAAAATACAGCAGCGCACAAGGGACGCAGCATTTCCAAATATATATATTTTTTTTTCAATATAGCCAAAAAGATTGAAAGTTGAAAAGTAAAAAAAAATACAAAAAACAATTTTAGATTTCGTAGTCAATTTTTTTTTTTTTGTATTATAGTACATGCACTATTATATTTGGAATAAGAAGGAATAAGCCACAGCCAACTGTATATCCAGCAGCATTTTAACTCACCTGCCCTTGCGTGCGTTGAGTCCTTGATCGCGGGATCCCTTGAAGCTGTTGAAAAAAGAACGCAAAGTTTTAGAAACTCATCTATGCCAATCGATTGAAGTTAAGCAAACAAGTTTTTTAGCAGCAAATGATTAAGCCGTGAACATTCAAAAGTATGTGAACTGATAACCCAGAGTAGTAGAATTGAATTCATTGATTGTAAATGGTGTGGTTGGTATGGGTTTAGGTGTATGGGGGGGCTAAGCAAAGAGACTGCTGTTGTTAACAGTTTAAGCAGCACTGGACCAAAAGTTTTAGCGCTACAGTGGAATAGGTCGTCGCATTTACGAGTTACTAGTGTGGAATGAGGGAAATGTTACGCAGAACACTAAGAACCAATTTGATGGTAAGCATAATTGTCAATTATATATATGTATATATATTAGAGCTGTGTGCGTTCAAAACACGACATCATATTGACGAAAATTCGCGAATGAGATTTACAAAATGTATTTTTTGTTTAACCTAAAGGTGCTGAACGAATGTTACATTACAATCAATAATCTTTTTGGAAAATTTTTCATTCACATTATGACTGATTTTCGAGAAAGAATATTTCGTAATTTAAAAAATTGTATCTTGCTAAATAAATGAAGTTTTCTATAATCCTGGCTTTGATAATTCTGTGATATAAAAAATTTATTTCAAGAAATTTCTACATTTAATTCGATTTTTTGGCGCCTAGAATTCCGTTACAATTTACAGACTATTTGAAATTTGGAACTATCTGAAGGCTCTACTAAAAACACGGAATCTTTAACTTTGGTTATCGCACACGCATTTTTGCACAGCTCTAATACATATCGTTGTTTTGTTTATTGCAGTTGTTGTGGTAGGCATGTTTGTGTAGGTATTTGATTATATAAAGTTGCTGGCAAACCTTTGTCTTCGGAGCGTGCCATCGGGCGATTGTTCGCGCAGATCATGACTAGAGCCACGACTGTGTTGTTGTAGTTGTTGCAGTGGAAATTGTGTTTTTTATTTTATTTGTTTGGTATAGCAAGGAAGTGGTGTGCAAAACGTTGCGTGGAAAATTGAATTGGTTTTGATTTTTGTTTTGTAGCAATAAAATGTGATACAAAAGAAAGTATAAAGAAAAATAAATTGCAATAATACATAATAGAAAAAATATACAAAATATAATAAATAAATACATACATATGTATATACAAGAAGGGATTTTGGAAAATATGCACCACAGTCAGCAGAGTGGCGTGGGCATCTCTATATACTATACATATATATGTCTTCTTTTGTACTTACACTGGAGTCTTTCCACTGCGAGATGGTTTGCGCGCTCCCGGAGGTAGTTGTCGGGGTTTGCAGGCACGATCCACTTCATTTTGACGACGTGCTGTGTTCTCCATGAACTCCTTGTGATCTTCAATAAGCTTCTCGACCGGAGGTATTTCATCGGGCAGTGGTTCATGCTTAAGGTCTACAAAAATTAATTGGTTGATCATTGCCTTTAGCTTATTATTAGTTAATCTTGCTAGGCTTACTCAATAGCGTTGCTTCTAGGCCACTCAGCCAGGCAAGCAGTTCCTCAATTGTATCATCAAGATCCTTGAGCGATTGTAAGTGTTGTTCCAATTTCGATTCGCGGTTGATGGCCCATTGACGTACTTCCTCCCAGCGTTGCTGTATGATGGACAGCCAATTTTTGATTATGGGTATGGCATCGGGGTAGGCCTTGCTGATAATTTCCTCGGCATAATCGAAAGTTTCGCTCTTCTCTCGCTCGCGTTGACGCAAGTCACGCATAAACTCCATGTGAATGTCCATCATCTCGCGTGAGACTTTCTCATCATCCGGAGCGTTCTTCGCGTAACGCAGTTTGTGCTCGGCATGATCCAACCAGTCGAACAGAGTTTGCACGCGTGCGTTGAGCTTCTCGGCATCGACAAGTGCCACCTGTAAGCGTTCACCACGTTTGGCAACAGCACTCTTGACCTCCTCCCATATGGCTTGCATTTCGTCTAGCTGACGGCCAACATCAGGATTGTTTCCAGATCGTTCTAGATCACGACCGGTCTTGAGCACGCCTTGCGCTTGGGCCGCACGCTTCTGCAGATCCTGTTCGATGTGCTTGTGATGCTCGCACAGACCCTGCACCGTCTCTAAGTCACCATGTACTGGTCCATTCTCATTCAGACGACTCTTAGCCTTCTTCAGCCAGTCAAGCAACTCACCCAAGGCATCACTGAACTGACCTGAGAGCAATAATGCTTCCTCCAGCTTCCGCTGGCGTTCAATACTCTTGGACCAAACTCGGGTCCATTGCTCCTTGAGTTCCACCAACATTTTGTCAAGAACTGGGCGGTCACCTTTCGGTGCACGTTCCAACAGGTTCTTGCCCGTGCGCATGGTGCCGTCATAGACGGATTGCTTAGCACCCAGTTGACGATGCGTCTCCTTGAGTTTGCCGATGTACTTTTTGATCTTTTGCGGTTCCTTTGATGCCGTGGCCTCTTCAATGATCTGATCTAGCACCTGTTCTGTTTCCTGTAGATACTGCATCATGCCGGCCCAGGCATCGTTAAACTCACGGGCCTCTTTGTAACCATGATCCAGAGCACGTGTACGCTCTGCTGCTTTGCTCACCACACGCTCCCAGCGGTGCTGCACAGATACGAGTAGATTCTTGATCAATATCACATCCTGCTTCTGGCTGAAGTATTTCAAATGTGTGCCCTTCTTGTCAAGCAATAACATCGCTTCGCGATGCGTGCTCACATCCTTCTGTAGCACTTTGTGCTCTTCCATCTGAGCTTGAATGGTCTCTAAAACGCGAGAAACGGGTTCGGCATTTGACAGTTGCTTCTCAGCTTGAGTAAGCCATTCGACAAAGGCTTGCAGAGTGTCGTGGAACTCGGTGGCCTCTTTGAGTGCAATTTCCAGTTTGATTTTCTTGTCGGAGGCTCGCGAAACGACGGCATCCCAGCGTTGCTTAAGTGTGCGTAGCGTATGCTGCAAGTTGCTGGACGATACCTTCATTTGATTCTGGCGTTTTATATACTCCTGACCCTGTGCCTGGATGGTCTCCACCTTGGGACGATTCTCTTCCAGTTCATTGTACACTTCCATAAAGCGTTCCAATTGCTCAGTAGCAGTTTCGGGTAGACCACCGACCGGCTTGCTTGCGCCAATAACAGCGTCAACATCGCCTAACCAACCCAGAATATCTTGCACCTCAGCAATATACCCTTGTGCCTCACGTAGAGACTCCTCCAACTCATGCTGGCGATCAGATGCCTTTTGAAGCAGCTGCTTCCATTCGTTGTTGAGCTTGCGCAATTTCTCTTGCGTGGTGGAGGCCTCCAAGGAACCCTTTTCGGTTTCAATCAACTGGCGACCGGCATCATTGAGCGTATCCACAGAATTTTGATGCGCCTGAATGTCATTGGCCAACACCTTCAGTTTGGCCAGTTCAACTTCAAGCAACTGTGGATCGCCGGGTATCTAAAGGGGAAATTTAATTATTTAAATATTACTGTGGAAGAAAAGAAAATGTATTCTTTTTCTGAACGTACCGGCTTCAGCTGATCCAATGTACTATCTGTTTTGTTGATCCAGACGAGCAACTCGTTAAGTGCGTGTTGGAACTGACCCAAATGCAACAAGGCATGTTCTAGCTGCTTCTGACGATCGACCATGCCACGTAGCAAAGCTTCCCAGCGACGGTTAACAACCGAGAGTGGCTCCCGTATTGATGCCGCCTGCTCCGGCGAAGTGCGTTCCGTTAGTTCAACAGCTTGTCTACAATGGGCAATACTTGATTAGTAAAGAGGATATAACAACATTTTACAGATGCAGTTTCAAACACGCAAGCAAAAACGTAATAACTTGCAAGTGTGTGACAACCCTTAGGGGCATAAACTCCCGACTGAGACGTGAATACATGCAAAACTTTATAATGCGTTGCAAGGCCTTTCCAGGCATAATTGCGTACTAAAAATATTTTGTAAAAAAAACATGCGAAGCTTGCAGTCGGCAACAAGCACAGGCACTGCTTTAAGTTCAGACAAATAACAATACAACATTAAATGGGTCGATAAAAATTTTGAGCTTCTTGCCTTTCTAGACCTCTGCCAATTCACAACAGTTGATGTTTTGAAGTTGATTTTTCAATACGGAGTTTTTTGGGTTTTATCAAAATATTTAATTAGAAAATATAGTCTTGTAAATATTTTATAGGTAGAATGTTGTATAACAAAAACATACCTGTTTAATGCTTCTACTTCCACCATATGCGGATCGACTTCGTCCTTGAAGACCTTGAGTTGTTCAATTTGACGTTTAACCGCGTCAATGTCCGAGCCAACAGGCCCCAGATGAGCAAACTTATCTTCTGCCTTTGTCAAGAACTTGAGCAAGTTCTGCAGGGTCTCATGGAATTCCATAGCCTTCTCCATGGCATCGATGAGATTCTCTTCACGCTTTGCATACAGTGCGGTAATGTTGTCCCAGGCATTGTCCAGATCCTCAATGTGTTTCTTCACTTCTGGTTTGTCCGGCTCACCGCACATGTTCATCAAATTGCTTCCATGACGACGCACCTGTTCTACTTCAGGTTTGGTCTGATCAATTTCGTGGCGAATTTCCTGCAACGCCACCTGTTGTTTTTTGATCTCTTGTGGTTGCGCTGCAGGTGGTTCCTGACAAGATAGCGTTTCTTCAAGATCCTTAAGGGTCTTCATGACGCTATTCAGCTGTTTCCAGAAGGGTTCAGCTACACTCAGAATATCGTCCAAAGAGCTGCCACGCTTTTTGGTTGCATTTTGTACATCGTTCCATAGGGTATTAAGTTTTTCGAGTTTTGCTTTGATGTCACGCACCGCAGGATCGGACTTGTTGCCCGCCTTAGCAATGACATCGTTGGCTGCACGCTGTACAGCACTGAATGCATCCGCACGTTTGTCCAGATCATCCATTAGCGCATCGTTATCCTCGATTTGTTCTCGTATCTTTTGTGGCAACGCCGAAAGCGGATCCAATTGATTGACCTGGTCGACTGTGTTCGCCAGAGCACGTAACATACCCTCCAACTTGTCCGAAAACTGGCTGGACTCCTGCAGAGCACTCTCAAGCGCTTGCTGTCGTTCACGCAACTCCAAGCGCAATGCTGCATAGCGAGCATTGTCCGTGTCCAGAATTTCATTTATTTTTGCGCTGTCCTCATCAGCGACGAGAGCCCCAAGAGCCTCGCCGGTCTTGTTCAGTTTGTCCAGCAACGGCTTGTGCTCAGCAATAGATTGTAGTAGACGCTCATTCTTATCCTGCTGCAAGGTTATTTGATCAGGACGCAATGCAGGCATGCTTAAACGTGAAATCTGTTGCTCCATATCGTCCAACCAAGTCGTGAGTCCTTGGTGAGAGTCGGCAAAGTGTTCGGATAATGGTAAGGCTTGTTCTAATATGCCCAAACGTTCACTGCATAACTGGGCCACAGTGTCAACGATTTCTTTAAGGTCATCCAACTTTTCACGTAGCGTAGCTGTGTTTTCACTTTGCGGGGATTCACGCAGCACCTTCTTTGAGGAAGCGGTAACATCACGCACACGGCCTTTTTGACTGGAGATGTCATCATTGATGGAACGATGCTCCTGTAATTGAGCACGTACCAATTTGGGCTCCATTGCTGGTGGATCGGCTTCGCGCAATGTTGTATCCATATCACGGAACCACTCAAGCAGCTCATCAATATCACCGGTTACTTCCTTGGCACGCTGATTGCTCAAATGTAGACGCTCAGCCTTGCGTTGTATTTGCTCGACAATGGAATCGAATCGGCGGTTATCGCGTGTAACGATAGTTTCGATAGTAGCCGCTCCTTCACCAGGTGATAGTTGGCACAGCTGTGGACCAATTAGATTGATTGTGTCGAGTATGGGACGCATTTCGGACAATTCTCCTTCCAAACGCAACACATCGGCTTGACGTGGCTCGCTTGGTGCCAATGCACTCTCAGCACTTTGCATCCAATCAACCAGACGATTGTGAGCCTCATGGAATTGCTGAACTAGGGGCAGTGCGTTTTGGGCGCTCTTGAGCAGATCACCGCCGCGATTTGTGAGATCGCCATAGCGACGTTGAAGCGAGTCCAACTTATCCTTAAGTTGAATAGCCTCATCGTTGGAGATATGCTTCATTAGTTCGGCACCAGATTCAACGGTGGCCTCCACATTTGATGCATGACCGGCAATATTTTCATTCAGCTCCAGTAAATGGTCCATTTGTTCTAATAGTTTTTCGGCATACACAGGCACCGACTTGAATCGCTTTAGTTCTGCCTCCATGCTTTCCATCCAGGCCACCAAATCCTGATAACTCAGTACCAAGTGCCGTAGACCTTGTCGTGATTCCGAAAGCAAAGCTCCAATGTTGTCGCTGGCGTCGACTAGACCCGTATAACGTTCAGTAACTGCTCGTACTTTTTCACCCAAATTGACGGCCTCCTCATCGCTAACCAGCTGCATTAGCTGACCGGCAACATCGGCCAGATCGGTAAAGTCTGGTTTCTTGCCCAAAATCTCATCGTGAAGACCATCATGTTCACGTATGCGTTGCTGTATCTTTTCTTCGTCTGTGGGTATAAGCTCCATTGCCTTAACAGCGCGTTCCGTATTGTCTAGCCACTGCTCAAGTGGACTGAGTTTGTCATGGAAACGCTTGGCCACTTCCATAGCCTCCTCTAGATCATGTTCACGTTGCTCAGCACCGTCAGTCAGGGCATCGAAACGCTTCATAAGATCGTTTAATTGCTTCTCGATGGATGCCCGTTCGGTTGGCTCGCAGTGATTTGCAACCTCCTTGCCGAGAGTAGCCAATGAGCCCATTGAATTCTGACGATCCAATAACATTTTCTTGAGGAACTTTTGCTCTTGCAATTGAGCCTTAACCACCTTGTAGTCGCAGCTGGGTGGTTTCTGATTAGCCACCATTTCCTCAGTGTCACTCAACCACTTGGAGAGCCCGGCCAATGCCTCCTGGAATTTTCCAGACTGAAGCAGGGCCACATCCAAGCGACGGTCTCTTTCGTTCATGCGTTCCTTCAAATCATTCCAGCGATCATTGAGTTTCTCTAGATCCTTTTCAATTACGGCCGTGGATACCCCACTACCAGCCGAACGTACTAAATCACGCCCAGCCACATTTACCTTGTCCACGTTCTGCGCCAATGGCTCTACCTTCCTTTCTCTAAAGTTACGGAAGTCCTCCTGCTGTCGACGAATTTGATCCAATTCAGAGCCAACAGGTTTCATACGCTTGAACTCATCGCTAACATCCTGAATATCATCAAGCGCTTGCGATTGAATGTCGTAGAATTCTCTCAGTGCTTTAAGCGTACTATGTAGGTTTTCCTCGTGGTCACGCACACGGGTATCAAGGCGACCAAGTGTTTTACGCAGTGTGGAAATTTGTTCGCGGGTCTGCGTGGTGTCAGCAGCGAAGCCGGAGTCTACGAGCACATCAGCCGCGCGCTCAGCATCTCCTAGGCGGTCAACAACGCGTTCTAATTTGTGTTGCAACTTACCGACATCGTCCAGTTGTTGTTGGACGATCTTGATTTCACGGCCTGGTGGGCCCAGTTGCTCTATCTCGGTTTCCAAGTCGTTCAGTTCAATGCTCAAGCTCTTCATTTGCTCGTTGAATTGTGCCACCGCCGTAGCAGCGGATTGAAGTTCGCCACAACGATCGTCGAGGCGTCCTTGCAACTCGGACATGCGATCGGCCAACCCATCGACTTCACTAGTCAAATGATTGGCATCGCCTCCAGCAGCACGTGCTTCAGCACTGATATCCTTGGCCAAACCCTTCAGAGATTGCAATGGTTTTCCGAGATTGGTCAGTTCTTCGCGTATTGCCTTGACACGCTCCAGCAACTTAGGGTCCTTGGCAGCTCCACCTAAAGCATCGTGAGCAGCCAAGCGATCTTCACAACGGCCAAGGGAGTGATCGAGATTTCGCAGCTCGTCATTAAAGTCACCCAAACGACGTGAGCAGTTTTCAATCTCATGAGCGCGGGCAATCAAATCGTTGTTCAGACGCTCCCAACGGTCGCGTATGTCCTGAAGTTCACCCTTTATTGGTTCTTTGTCAATATCGCAACTGGCAAGGAAGGTTTCGCCCAGACCCTTTGTGTTTTCGAATTCTCCTGAGTGTTTCCACACTTCGCTACGGAAAGTTTGCAGATCGCGCAAACGCGCCTCCAACTTGGATTTTGAAAGAACACCAGGTGTCAGATCCGCCAATTTGTCTTCAGCAGTACGTAACCAGGACAAGAAAGATTCAACGGTTTGTGAGTATTTCTTGCAGTGCTCCATGCAGGTTTGAAGGCGTGTGTGACGATCGACAGCTTCGCGACGCAGTTTCTCCCACTGCTGTTGAATACGTTCTAGATCGCGTTTGACGCTACGGTCTTGTTGGCGATCGGACAAATCCTTGCCTTTGTTGATCAGCATAATGACTTCATGCTCACGTGCCATAACTTCACGATAAATGGGTTCGTGCGTATCGATTTGATGCTGAAGAGTGGGCTTGTGGGCGGACACGAGCAAGCGATCCGTCAGGTTGGAAAGTTCACCAGACAGCCAGCCCAGTGTTTTTGAGCAGTTCTCAGCAAAGTGGCGACCATCTCGTAACGAGCCTTCAGTTTCGGCCTTCTTGGTGTCCAGTTTCTTTTGCAGCGTTTGATATTGTTTCTCAAGCGCAGCTACACGCGAGTTAACGTCGGCACGAGAGGCGGGATCGCCCAAAATATTGCACAATGTGGCAGCAGATTGCTCCACATCGGCAAGTAAAGGACGCTGACCTTCTAACTGGCGTTCAAGGTTCTCAATCTTGCGCAAATTCTCCTGGTGATCACCATCCAGAGGTAATGCGTCCAAGTTGTCGCTAATGTTTTGCAATGCTTCACGTAGTCGATTGACGGCTGCATCAAACTCTTTAGAGCTGTCAGCAGCTCCGCCCAAGCTATTGGCACGCTCATCTAACTTGCCTACCAAATCATCCCACTTGCTTAGCACATCCTGCAGTTTTTTCTCAACGGCCAGGGCATCGGGAGTTCCAGCCAAATGGTCAACCACATCGTGTCCTACTTCCTGGAAGTGCTTAAGTTGGGGTTGTTGAGTCCGGAATTCCTCGCGAAGTACTTGCACTTGCTGCACTTGACTCTGCACCATACGTGGGTCCGATGAAATAGGGCCTAGCACTGTTAACATACGTTCTTTGCTATCCAGCCAGCTCTTCAGATTTCCATGTGTGTCCAAGAAGTCGCGCAACTTCTCGGAGAAGGCAATACGGTTCTTGCAAATGTCGTTGAGATTCTTCCAACGTTCCTGTATATGCTCATTCTCCAATCGAAGCTGTTCGGCACCAGGCACATCGGACTTACGGCGCAGAATGTCTTTGATTTGAGCCTTGGTAGTGTCAAGTAGGCTCTGCTTTTCGTACATGTCTTCGAGTATTTTGCGTGATTGTTTAATGCAGCGATCGGCCTCTTCCTTATTGGAAACCGACTCCTTCGGAACTTGGCGTTGTATGCGCTCCAGGAACTGTGCTAGTCCCTTGAGGTTCTCATACTGCTTGCGCACCTCTTCGCTAAGATTGTCCAACTCATTCTGACGATCATTAAGACGTACGCCAATTAGTCCGTAGCGGTTGTTGATTTCGGCTAATTGCTGCTGCACCGGAGACAACTCAGATAGTTGGAAGCCGTCCTGAGAGGATCTGCGGCTACCAAATCCACTGGAACCAGTCGATAGTGGCGACAGTATGCCTCCCTTGGTGGGGCTCGGACTTCTGGCGTCTCCGGACATGCGACGCAGTGGGCTCGTGCGCTTAATAGGACTGTATGTAGATCTTTTACGTGCAGGACTATCCGGTCGTATAAGAGCATCATACTGTCCACCAATATCGTTGATTTTGTCAATTGTTGGTGCATAGTCGCGATAGTCCTTGCAAATCGGCTTCAATTCATCATGCTGCAGACGAATTTTATCCAGATCAATGGCCACCGGTGCAAGTGAATTAACACGGGCTTCTGAGCTGGCCAGCCATGAGAGAACTTGATCCTTAAGGCCTTCGTACGCCAATTGCTGCTCAGCCTTCTGCTTGGACAACTTTGCTTTTTCATCAATGCTGATGTTAATATTTCGCCACTGAGATTCGAGCGCCTTGATGCGATCCCGTAGTGCGCCTGTGTCAGTTACATCGCGCAATCCAATCAAATCCTTGCCATTGCGTACGCAGTCCTCAAACTCAGGAGCGAGGTGCTCCTTCTGACGTGCCAGATCGTTCATGCGACGTGCGAGTTCCTCAGTAGTAAGCAGACTGGTCTCGCGGCTGTCTAAAGCCTCTTGTAACGATGCCAAGTTTTGCTCCACGTTGCTAATGTCGTCGAGGTACTTGCTCAAGCGATTGTAGACATCATCAAGGAACTCACCACGCTTGTTGGCCTTCTCGTACAACTTCTCAAACTTTCCAGTCATATCATTCAAGTTTGACTCCACCTTCTTGGCGATGCGTGCATTGGAGGCACTGGCTAATAAATGCTTTGCTGATATCTGTACGCTGTCAATGCTGGCCTGATGTGATTGCAAGTCGGCCAGCAATACCTTGTGCTCGCGTATTTGCTCCTGCAGGCGCTCCTTTATAAGTGAGGCGGGGCGAAGATTCATCTTGTACTTATCCTCAGCTTGATTCACCCAGCCGACCAGACTGTCAAGTGCATCCTGAACACCTTGCGATTGGACTAATGTCTTGTCCAATGTCTGGCAATGCTCGCCCAACGTGTCCAGCAACTTCTGGTAGTTATTTTTCAGATCAGCGATGGGCAGCTCGAGCTGATTGATTTCCATAGGGCTAAGCTGACCACCCAGCGAGCGCAAAAGGTTGTCCAGAGCTTGTTGAGCGTTATCTACTAGACGACCATTTGACAGCAACTCGTTGTGCAATGCCTTGGCCTCATTCATTTGATCCTGCACGCCCTTTGCATCACCGGCGACGGGTTCGGAAATAATTCGCGAGACACGGGGCTGGGCACTGCGTAGCCATTCGTTTGCCTTGTCAAGCGCATCATGATACTCACGTTGGCGTCCGCCAAGCCCTGAAACTCGATCTTGCAGAGCGTTGACACGATTCAAAAGATCTTTGTATTGCGCCGACACTAACGACACTTCCTGGCGTATAGGACTTTCGGCGCTTGAAAGTGGCTCGACGTGTGGCAAGCGCTCGGGCAGGGATGTACGGAAGTCATTCAAGACGGCCAAAAATTCTTTGCTTTCATCCACGAACTTTTGTGCTGCCATGGTGATGAAACGTAAATCGGCCTGGTGACCAATAACATCACTAACAAACTCGCGTATGGCATCTGCCTGCGAAGGCAGACGAGTTAGGTCCGATAGCGAACGTTCCTTATCCTCTAGTGCGCGGCGTGCCAATTGTAGCCAATCGGAAAAGACGTCTAGTTCGCTACGTAATTTAGTGAGCTCATCGCGTCCTGCTTCCAGACGACGCAATAAACGAACTGTGCGATCGTTGACACGATCCACACGCGTACGCAGTTCGCGACCTGAGTTTTCCAACGTGGTGACTTCTGGCGCGGATAGGACATCGCCACCGGTGAGCACAATTTGACGAATTTGCTCCAAGCAGGTGGCCACTGGTCGCTGCTGGGACTCGATCTCCTCCTTGATTTGCTGCATAGGACAATTAGAAATTATATTTTGAAAATTTGATATTTGACTATTTACTGAGACTCACCTTAAGGGCATTGATTTGATTGCGTAGTTCATCGATTTTTTCACGAGGTCCGCCAACACTTGAGATTTTCTGTTCTACAGTAGTGACCCACTTAAGCAGGTCGTTCACGTTCTCTTCGCACATATTGAACTTCTCAAATACTGCTTGCTGTACGTCGTAGATAAATATATCGTATAGGAATAACAAAAATTAGTAAAAAGTTATAAAAGTAGTATAGCTTAGCATTATATAAAATTTGCCTTTTTTTATCTTATTGGGGGAATAGAAAAGAGTATGAGAAATGCATTCAAAGTTTTTCATAATCATCTAGTCAAAAATTTCAAAATAAAATAGTATGTGAACACAAAATATATATTTAAAATAATCATAAATTTTTTAAGCTGAAAAGAATCAGTTTTAAAGTAGCAGCCAAAAAGCCACACCGGCAAAGCAGTTTTTTTTTTTTAATATTTACAAAAACGCGTTCAAAGCAAGCAAGCGGTTTTAAAAGTTATAAAAGCGATAAATAAACATAAAAATAAGGACGCACAAACACCAATGTTGCCAAAAATGGTATACTATATACTACAGAGAACGAGCACTACTTTAGGGCACTAGGAACTACAAGTTTTTACGTTTAGTGGGCAACTAGCTACATTTGTTTTAATGGGTTGGTTGTACAGTTTTATTGCTTTGGTTAAGGTTAATTTTGTTGCAATTATTATTAATTATTTGTATTTTTGTTTGTTTTCGTACTCAAAAACAAAACTGCAAACGAAATAATATATGCTGAAAATAGGTAAAAAATTGTATTTATAATAAATCATATAATTAACAACTAAAAAGATCTTTTGCTATGCATAAATAAATAAATGGGGAATTATAATACCTTATTCCAAAAAAAAAAAAAAACATTTAAAAGGAGAAATAAAAACAAAAATGGGGTTGTTGCCAATTTGGAATACTACTGGACAGTTTTCCAAGCCGGCCATTAAGGATACATCTAGATTGTAATGTGGTAGGGACAATCTAACAGCACAGCTGAAACTGTTTGGGAAGACTACGTACAGTCTATGGAATTCATATATAGGGTCGTTTATATGAAGGAAGAGGTCGTATATAAGTATGTTTATGTGTTTAAAAATGAAGCGTTCGCTATAGACTCTTGTGCTTTTTTATGCGTATTGCCGACGTCATTTATGTTGAAGAGTATGGATGGATAGGGCGCGTAGCATTGCCTGAGTAAGCGTTTGATGTGTTTGTGTAATAGAGTTTAATTGATGATTTTTTATTTTTTGTATGCGTGTTGAAATTCCATGAACTGATTGTTCAGTCGATAGATGTGATGTACTCGTATGTGATAAGATGGCGTATTTATTGTTTTGGTTTGTGCCTGTTGACATTTTTCTTGCTGCATCTGTCAGTAACTCGTATGCATTCTATGAAAATTTAAAGCAAGCTTCAGCGAAGATGGCTCATTAAAATTATACGTTATATAGTAGCAAGATGTGAACGAACATAAAACTCAATGCCATGCGCTGCAATATAAGAAATTTGCCCGGTTTTTAGACAGGCAAAATAATAATAAATATGATTTGCAAATTAAAAGAACAAGAAAAAAGCTTTATTCGGCATGCCGAAGCCTATATACCCTTGCATATAATAATGTTTTTTTTTAAATCGCCAAGATAGATTTCCTATACAAAAGGGTCTTAAAGCAGACGGACACGTTTTTATGTCCAAAAAGATGTCTTTTGTTCATTGCAAGGGTATACAAATGTTAAAACTAGAGTTAGTTCAATGAAGAGAGACAGCATCAGAATGTAACAGAGTGAAGAAAAGAGGGGAGCGAATCGCTTATCAAATTTTTAATGAAACCAAAATTGTGTTTTAATATATTTTCAACCAAACATGCCACGAACAAAGCTTAAGAATCATTTTTGTTGATAATTTCTAGCAATAGTTTTTTATTTTCCAATCGGAAAGAAAAAATAGTGTTTAATTTGTAAATAATATAAGGATATAGGAAAACACTTACCCTCTGTTCGGCTGGCAACAGCAAACCCTTCTCGGCGGCCTTGACCAAATCAATATTGTTTTTAGCGTCGTTCAAACGACCTTCATTAGCATCTATAACACCACTGCCAATGGCAGCAGTCAGTGGAACAATTACCCCAGTGTTTGGGTCACGCACCACCGTAGATGAGGGGTCGATTAGGCCCGAGCTTATTGACTCAGCAAGCGTATACTTTTTACGTTTAATGATGTCTGGATGCATTTGGAAAGGATCTACTAGACAACCGTTTGTCGGATTGTACAGGTTGAATGTTATAGCTTCTAGCAAACCAAATGAACGCTTGGGAGTGCAGATGAGTCCTGTCTCGTAGGCTTCTTGCAATGTGCACAGCTTCGAGGTTTGTGTGTTCAGCACATTTGCTTTGTTAGAGTCCATGAGACCCTTGCGGAAAGCCTCTGGCAAGCGCACAAGTTTCGACTTGGCCAGGTCCTTTACCAACGCCGAATCGGGATCAATGATACCCGCACCGGCGGCGTCTTTAAGCGTATACTCTTTCGGCGTATCAATGACAGTCAGAGAATCATTTGCGCTGTCGTCGTTGCGCTTAGGTGCTATGGTGGCTGTATCGGCGACACCGCTGGACGTAACGTATGTCAAAATGCCGGTTTGCAAGTCTAGCAGTTTGGATTCGGCAGCTTGATCGAATGTGATAGGTTCGCGCACGTAAATAAGTAATGAGGGATCGAATGCAAAGTATAAAGCTTTTGGATCGACGAGTGTACGTTTTGTGATATCGACAAGACCGCGCTCGAATGCCACTTGGTAGGGCACGAATTTGAAGCTATCGAAATCACGGACAAGCGAGGTTTTTGGATCAATTATCTGGTATTTAATGGCCTCCTCGAGAGACATTTCGCGCGGTTTGCTTATAACAACACTAACTGGTGTTTGACTCAACAGCTCAACGCTGTCCTGACGCCTTACAAGCTCGTTACGTTCAGTTAGTGGACGCAAAATGGTGAAAAGTATGCCGCGCGAGAATGCGACATCGTAATTGTAGGCTGACTTTGATTTTGGATCAAATACACGACCTTTGGACACATCAATATCACCGTTTTCGATGGCTTCGTTTAATGGCAGCTGTTTTCCAGTAACTTGGTTTTTAAATACGGTGCTGGCAGGATCGATGAAGCCATTGTGAATTGCTTCAATCAGATCCAAATACTCGCCAGTTGTAGGATCGCAAAACTTGCCTGTGTCTGGGCGGTATAGTTGCATGCGAAGAACTTGCTCTAGGCTAAGAAGACGACGGTTAGACACAATAAGACCGCGTGCGCGGGCCGTTTGTAAATCAAGTTTCTCCTCACCCAAGATATAACAACCGTTAGTGTCGTCTATAAGTTGTTCCTTGATGGCATTTGCTAGACGCATATACTTGCCCGAATCGTAGTGCTTAACTAAACTAGAGGATAGACTAAGCACATCTTCGACGCATGCCTCGTTCAAGTTTAGCTTGCGATTGGTAACTGGATGAAGAACCTTGCGTGAAGGCACATCATAGAAGCCCATTGCTAACATCTCATACAACCCAAAGCCAGCATTCTCGATATCCACTATTAGACCCAAACTTAGTGCCTCACCTAGCGAAACAAAGCTGTTACTGCCTGGTTCCCTGAATACACCTTCTCGCCTGTTAATGATGCCATTGCGGCAAGTATCGCTGAGACTGTACAGCTGTTCCGTCTGTTCGTCAAAATAGCAGGGCAGATGAGGGTTAATAATAAAGCTTCGCATACCCTCAAGAAGCGTTATTTTGCGTCCGGTCTTTGGATCAGTGAGCTTGCCAATCTTATCATCGAAGAGACCCTGATGTATGGCTCGTTGAATGCTTATTGGCGCATTTACATCCATTAGTATAGCGATATCAAAAGCATGTTTGAGTGTTATGGTCTGGTTGTTGTACAATAGTTTTGAGTTTTGTGGATCAATAATGCCCGAGTCTTTGGCGTCTGTCAAGTTCAGTTGCTTGTATAGACCTGTTTTGAAATCCCTAATTTGCACGCTATGCTCGTCAAGTAGATTGGTGTTGAGTGCCTCAGCAAAGTTGAGTTTCTCGCCCGATTTCGGATCTACAAAATGACCATCTACTTCGTCGTACACATTCTTCACAACAGCTTCGCTGAGGCGCATCGGTTTTTTGGCTTCTACTAAAATGCCTCTATCGAAAGCCTCCTTGAAGTCAATAGGTTTGTCGTCGGCGTCACGTACTGTGCCCTGCGTGCTGTCCACTATCCCTGTCTCAGTAGCCACGCCAAAAGGTATGACCTGACCGGTTACATTAACGATAGTAGAATCGGCATCAAGTATACCCCTACGTATGGCACGTTCAGTTGTTAGCTTCTCGCGGGTAAATGTATTGCTAAATTGACCCGTTTTAGGATCATATAGCCCCCTATAAACGGCGTCAGGCAGACTGCGCTTTCGCTTGGGTGGAATAAGTATACGATTTTCGAGGGCTTCAGGCAATGAAAGCTTTGTAGAAGCATAGGGATTAATTACAAAGCCGCCCACTGGATCAAGGTACCCCTTTGATATGGCTTCATTGATCGAAATGATTGACTCGGTTTTGGGATCCAAAAGCACCAGCTCCTCAGGATTAATGAGCTTCTGCGCAATTGCTGATTTTAAATCCAATTTCTTGTTGTCGATGGTAAATAGTGCTGTCGAAGGATCATAAAGACCACGGAGCAAGCAATCAACTAGAGAGAGGGGGTTCTTGGTGCTAATTAAATATCCCTTAACGAAAGCTTCGTCTAAACTAATGTTGGGCGTGCTAAGTGTGCCGCGCACAGTATCTAGTAGACCCAATTTGGCTGCCTCCTTGCCGGGCACAATCTTGTCATGTTCGGCATCTTTGATTAGTGTTGTATCAATTTCGACAAAGCCCATTTCTATAGCTTGCTGTAGTAAAATATCTTCTCCAGTAACTGGATTAAGCACTCTGCCCGTGTCGGGCGAATAGTATTCACGTTGCAGCAGTTCAGGCAAGCTCCAGGTAACGCTGTCGGTCTTAACAATATTCTGCTGTACACCCACATCTAATGGAACCAGTGTATTGTTTTTGCTATCTTTTATTTGACCTGTTGCGGGTAAGACCAACTCATCTTCAATGGCACAATCGAGCTTCAGCTCCTTCTTGCTAAGAGTGTCAACAATTAACGAGATTTTCGGATCAACTAGGCCAATTTCTATGGATTTTTGGACATCGACTTGATGCTGTGACTCAGCATCGTAAAGTTTGCCCGTTTCTGGGTCGTACAGACCCTTGCGCACAGCTGCCTCCAATGAAATCGGCTTGCGTGCACCAGGAACTAAGAAGCCGAGCTTAAAAGCTACCTCCAAGGGTATCTCTTTCAGCGTTTGAATATCTATAACAGTGCCTGCCTGCATGTCTACCACTCCCAACTCAATTGCCATACGCAGTGGAATAACTTCACCACTCACCGGGTCGCGTACCGATATCGACTGTATGTCCAGCTTGCCACTGTTAATAGCATCAACAATGGAACAAACTCGACCATCGTCAAGTATAACTTTGCCGGTTTCCGAATCGATTACTACATTCTCAATGGGCGCAGGCCGCTGATCTTCAGGATCGGCACGTATAATCCAATTGCGTGCTATGCATTCAAAAAAGGGTATTTTCTTGCCAGTCTTAGGATCTACCATATGACCAGTATGTCTGTCAAGTAATGGACGTTCAAGAGCTGCTGTCAAAGTCTCGTATTTGCCAGTGCTAAAGTTCTTCACCAAAATTGTTTCGGGATTAAAGATATTCATGTCGAATACAAGGGTTTGGAATGATATTTTTTGACCCGTTGTAGGATCAGTAAAGTATTGATGGAGGGGGTCGAAAATGTTGAGCTCACTTAGTTTTTCCGGCGTCAGTTCTGTATCAATGTCCACAACATACGTAATTTGTTGCAGCACAATCAATTTGTCATCTATGATCTGAACCTCGTCTAGGGGACTAAGCTGTTCGTCTTTAAGAAGTTCGGTAACAGTTTGTGACTGCGCCTCTCCATCGACTATAATTTGACATTCATCGGGGCTAATTAATTTTTGGGAGATAGCGTCACCAATAGCTAGTGTCTGTGGCACATTACGGCCGCTGGTTTCGACAGTTGTAATAGTAACAGTGTCACGCGATTCATCATCGGGCGTAGAAGAAGATCCAACAGTACTGCTCGTTGTTGTGGTTGTTGTAGTTGTAATTTTTGTGACAAGTGTACTAGATGTACCTGTGCTTTCTACTACAACAGTCGGCTTTTCTTGATTGACTTCTTCGATCGTGGACTGTGCCAATTTTTCAGGCTTATCTCCACTAAGAGCATCTACGAGTGCCTTGCCAGCTAATACTGGAGCTCCAACAATTGCCAAAGCGCCTAACTTAGCTGCATCTTTAACGTTCTGCAAGATGTTGTTGCCAGGAGTGGGTTCGGCCGTCCTTTCCCGCTCGATGAAGTCGGTAACGGTGTCATTTTTGCCGGAGTTTATGGGTGAAGGTGTAATTTGTTCCAGAGCCCCCGGTTTCTGTTCTGCCAGAGTTGTTATTGTTGTCACAGTCTCTGTAAGTTGCGTAGTAGTTGATGGCTCTGACGGGCTATGCTGCTCCACCGTTACTATCTCAGCAGGTGCCTGTTTCTCTTCTTCTTTCGGGATATTTTCTATCGGTTTCGCCGGCTGATCTTCTGGTTTAACCCTTTTTTCTTCTGATACCAATTTTTCGTCTGTTGGAACGATTTCCTCAATGACTTTCACCTGACTTTGTGGATCAATTAATTCCTCACTACTTGAAGTTGTTGTAGTTGTAGTAACAGTTGTTGTTGTTGTTGTTGTGGACTCTGTAGATTCTGATATCGCTGGCTCCTCAACTGTTACAATTCTTTCCTCAACAGTAATAGCGCTGGGTTGCTCCGGTTTCGCTGGCGTTGGTTGTTCTTTACTTGGTACTTCAGTATCCTTCACTTCTGCTACTTTCTTCGGCTCCTCAACTGAACTATTAATAACTGTCTCCACAATTTCCGTAGTGATGGGTTCTTGTTGTAATGTTTCTGTGGATGTTAGTGTTGTTGTTATAGTTGTTACAGTCTGCGTAGCAGAGGCAATCGGCTCTTCTGTAATAATTTCAGTGATTTTAACATCTGTGTCTTTAACTGGTTCAGAAAAGGGTGCCAATGGAGCTGTGAAAGGAGGAGGAATATCTTTAACTTCCTCTTTGACTGTAGTTCTTGGTTTTGGTTCTGGTTTGGAGTCTACTTTTGGTTCTGCATTTTCCGCTATTTCAGGTATTTTCTTGCTTTCAGATGTTATTGTCTTTGAAGTGGTTACAATTGTAGTTGTAGATTCTGTAGTTGTTGTCGGTTCTTCAATAACCTCAATTTTAGTCTCACTGGAGGTAACATCGTCTGGCTTTTGTTTTGTTACATTCGACAGGTCTGATTCTGGTTTTGTTACAATTGCCTGTACGGGTTCTTGTTTTGTAACAATTTTCTTTTCTGTGTCTGGTTTTGCTACAATTGGCTCTTCATTGATAAGTTCTGGTTCCACAATTGGTTCCTTGTTAATAGTGTTCGGCTCCTCAACAATCGATGTCTCAGTTATAGTGTTTATTATAGTTTCTGTGACTTTCGGCAGTGGAGATGTTGGGGACTCAATTGTAGCATTGGCTACATTTGATGGTTTAAGTGGTGTTTTCAAATCTTCTGTGATTATTGGTTCAGTTATAATTGATTGCGTTGTAGTAGTTGAGGTTGTAATCGTTGTATGTGTTGCATTTGTCGTAGACGAAGTGGATGTAGTTTCATCGATTGGTTCTACAGGCTTAACCGGCTCCTTGGGCTGATGTTGCTGTCTCTCATTTAAGATGAAATTTGTGGTGGTAGTATTGATAAACTTCTCAGTGTCGTCCAATAGATTTTCAACTTCATCTGATACTTGCTGGGGCACAACAACTCTCTTTTCTTCAGTGACAATGTCTTGAGGTTGCTCAGGTTTCTTCACTATGCTTTCTGTTACAATTGTCGTCGTCGATTTATGGTCCTCTGTAGGCTTCTTTACAGATTTTATGAGGCTCTTAACGCCACCTACGATAGCACCTCCAGCCAGTACTGGTGCTGCTATAACGCCCAAGGCCCCCATTTTAGCTGCTTCTTTAACATTTTTCAATGTGCTGGAACTCTCTTTTGATGGTTTGTCTTGTGTTACATCTACATTAACATGCTCAATGGTGGATTGTGTTGTGCTACTAGTAACCTGCATCTCCTGTTGCTTCGTATCCGAGCTAACCAATACGGTTTGCGAACGCTTTTCTAAAACTATAGTTTTATCAGTGACTTCCTGCTCCGGAATCTCGCCTGCTACCGCCTTCGTCTCCCGCGTTACTGACTCCTCGCGCAATATACCTAATTCCTTAGCTTCTTCTAGACTGCACACCTCACCTGTGTTCACATTCTGCACCTCGTTGTTCGAGATGAGTACATAACCCTGCATAAGTTCAATGGTCTTTGTGGTCACAGTATGGACCGCTCGAACAGTCTCCATCACCTCAGTCTTCGCAATGGGTTTTTGTGTGACAACGAAATCCGACAGCGGTTTGACAACTAATACACCTGTCTCCAACGCCTGGCGCAAAGGCAACTGATCTCCTGTTTTGGGTTGTCTAAGGGTATGTGCGGCCACATCAATTAGATCTTGATCCATTGCATCGACTAGCTCAATCGCATCTGGTTTTGGCGGATATGGTATTGACATTATGAAATTCTCATCAATGGCTTGCTTGATAGGCAACTGTTTATTTGTTGTTGGATGAACGATGATGCGTTTTGTGGGCTCAACTAGACTTCTCTCAACGGCGACGGGGAAAATCATGCCCACTGGTGGTATTTCCACCTTGGCCTTTTGCTTGTCATAGCTGGGATCGAACAACTTTGCATCGATGGCTTCGCTTATATTCAGGGTTTTGTTTTTGTAGGTAAACTTGGAATCATCCGCATTTACAATGCCATTCTGTATAGCCTCTTCTATTGTACATTTTGAAGGTTTCTGCATTTTTGATTTGGGATCCAAAACTTCACATACTATTGCTTCTTGTATGCTTAATGGATAGCCACTTTCGGGATGGACAATAGTTTGGGTCTTTGTGTCTATTAGGCCTTGGGCTGCCAGTCTTGGTATTGACAAGCTCTTTGCTAGCGGTACCAGTATGTGATTAGTTTCCTCTGGATCAAGGATCTTCTGTTCGACTGCCTGTCTTAAGTTGAGCACATTATTGCTTTGTGGGTCAATGACATGACCTTTGCGACCATCAATTAAACCTGTACTAAGTGCTTCGGTAATGTTGACGACATCACCCTGATTGTTGGTAAAGTTCTTTGTATTCTCGAGTATCTGGCAGGTCTTCTCATCAATAATGCCCTTACGTTGAGCATCCTTCGGCTTGAGTATGATCTTTCGCATCTTCTGGAGCACGACTACCTTCTCCTCCACTGTTGGCTCGCTTTCGAAGGAGCGTCCACGCTTTAGTTGATCGCGCGATACAATGCCACGTTCGTAGGCTACTTCAACGGGTATTTGCTCACCAGTACGTGGATCGGTAACGAAACGCACGGTGCGCAACGCACCCTCCGCAGCCACAAGTGGTGCACCAACAACGCTGAGAAGACCCAGCTTTGTGGCTGTAATTAGATCCACTGGTTGATTTTCGGTATTTAGTATAGTGGCGGTACGTGGATCGTAGATAGATCGTGCAATCGCTTCTGTAACTGAAATTGTTTGTTTCGTCTGAGGATCAACAATTTTAATGAGCTGCTCATCAACTAGACCCTGGCGCGCTGCATCGAAAATGTTTTCGGTCTCCCCGCTTTGCGTGAATATTACAAGAGCCGTCGACGGATCATAAATGGCACCAGGTGCTATTTGCAAAGGTTCTGGTGAGGCCAGCTCACGGTGGCATGTGTTAACCTCAATAAACTTGGGCGGTGCATCTTTCAGGGGCGTAGACACCTCGAGCACATCCGGTATATTGCTGACGCGAGTAATCCGTAGAATTGTCTTTTGGGAAGCGCCTCGCGTAGCCGGAACGGTTTCAAGTATAATCTTTCCATCGGATATTGCACTGCGCATGCTCTGCACCTGTTGGCGTTGATTTGTATAATTTCCATAGCTGTCGATTATATTGCGTTCGAAGGCTGACTTTACGGATATCTTGTCACCGGTGCTGGGCTCAATAACGGCCACGGATAGATTGTTTATGATTTGTTTGGCAATGCACTCCTCAAAATCGACAAGACGATCGGTTCCCTGTACATGAAATACACCCGTGTCTGGATTAAACAGACGCTGCTCTATGGCATCCTTCAAACGCCAGCCGCCTGGTGGTAGTTCCATAATCTGACGCTCCGTCACGTTTTGTTCAATATAGCTGCTTTTTTCCATGTTTATAAAGTCGGAGATAACGCGTTGCGGCTTGACCAACTCCTGTGTTATGGGTATCTCTACAGATTTCTCCACATATTTTTGAGTGTTTAGTTTAATTGGTTCGGCTTCCGGCATAATCTGTTTAGTCACAATGGTAATTGTGGACTTGGTCTTTTTGCGGTTCGTAGGTTCAGGTACTGTTTGGTTGCTGTCGGGTACAAGCAGTCCATAGTTCAAGGCCTGTTGCACTGAGTATACATTTCCTGTCTTGGGATCTTTAAACAATTGTCTGTCCTCGTCAATGAAACCCTGACGTACTGCTTCTGTGAAGGTAAGTAGCACAGTATCGCCAGGCTCCTGAGAGCCAGCGCGTATGGTGACATAACGATTGATTGTACGAGTAACTGTTTCAGTGGTCAGTGTAATATTGAGCAGACTACTTAGAAGTAATGCGCCTTCGGGCGTTATGAACTTGCGTTCAATAGCAGTGTCCAGAGGCACAGGCTCGCCCGTTTTCGCATCGAGCAAATAACCTGTTTTTGGGTCTATTAAATTATGATAGACCAGATCAAAGACGCTTAACTCCTTGCCGCTGGCATTGTGCACCCCTATACCGCGATTAAACATCTCGTATACCTCCTGGCGTACTAGACCCTCCCGTACAGCTAGCTCGAGCGGCACAAAGTTGTCACGACCGGTCTCCAAGGCAAAGCCCGTGCTCTTGCGACGCAAAATGTCGCGCGACAGGGCCACATTAAAGCTGACATAATCGTTGCTGTGCAAATCTTTAAAACCGTCTATATCGAAAATGGACTTTTGAGCTACGGAACTGATAAGACCACGTTCCACCGCCTCCGGTATGCTAATCAATTCACCTGTCATAAAATCGCGATATTTGCACTCAGCAGGCAGCACAATGCCATCAGCAATTGCCTCCTGCAAAGTGATTAACTCACCTTTACGTTTAGTAATGCACTTCAATGTGTTCCCGTCTAAGACGCCCGCCTCGATTGCCTGCATAATACTCAATTTTTCTCTACGCATGGGACTCGTAATGAGCGATTGCTTGTCCATTAAATTCAAATCACAAATATCTTTTAACGTATAGGGTTTCACAATCCATTGCCGATTTCGCGCCTCCAAGAAGCTAAGCTTCTCCTTTGTCACTTCATTTACATACCGACCCGTTTTCGCGTTTAATATGCCCGACTGCAATGCCGATTGCAGCGTAATTTTAACGTCGTGCTTCGCATCTACCACTTCGCGTACACCTGCATCTATCAACTGATTTGCTATAGCCGAGTCCAGTCTGAACTTGTCACCACAATTACGATCAGCTATCCAGCCGGCACCGTCGACCAGGCCATGAGCAATCGCATCGCTCAAGCACAGCGCATTTGACTTGATTGTCACCGATTCGTGTCGAATCAAGTAGCCGCGCTCGTAGGCCTCCGCCAGGCTGATGGTTTGACCCGACTTAACGCGATACAGGCCCGTCTTTGTATCCACACTCCCCGCAGAAATGGCGTCGGCAATATTTTTAGGATTTTCAGGTGATTCCTCAACAACAGTACTTGTTGTTACCTTAATACGTTTCTCTGCCGTCTCGTATCCCGATTCTGCTTCGCTTATCTCACGCTGTATGACCTCGAGTAGCGACAGTTCCCGGCCAGAGGCATCGCGACCAGCACCCGGCTGCAATAGCTGACGCGCCAGATGTGCGTCAATTAATCCTTGTTCGGCGGCCTGTTCCAGCGTTACGCGACGATCCCCAATCAACATTTCACCAGTACGCACATCCAGAATGCGCAACTGTATTGCTTCGCCAATTGTAAGCACTCGTCCTGTGCGCGGATCGCGTATGCCGGCTATGTCTAGGACGGAGCTGCCAATGCCATCGTTGATTTGTTGAACGCGTTTCAAACTACGTATTTCATTGAATTGGATTTGGGATTGTGGTGTGCCCAATTCTTGCGCCTTGTTGTTGGGCGCGTCTGTGCCATCTGTGTAGATGCTCTTCGTCGAGCTTTTCGTTGTCTTTGTCGAACTGAATCTGGGTGTGGGAAAAAAGTGTAAATTGGCGAATGGAATTCAACTAAACTGGAAGTGTAAATTATCTTACTGTGTGCTGCTGTAGGATGTTGTGTAGAGATCCTCCGGACGTGCAGCATAACCATCGCCAGTTGGTACGCTGCCCGCACTGAAGTCAACTCTAAAGGTTTTTAGCGGTTTCTGTAAACTTTCAGCGTATTGCTAAAATAAAATAGAGAAACAATTTCGCACCACTTAGTAAATTCATTTAAAGCCATCAATCATATCATATGAGAGTGCGTTTTTTTTTTCTTTTGCGAAATGGCGCTTAGGAACTTTACCTGAAATTCGAACGCGAAATCATATTCGCTTTCCTCTGCCATTGTGGCAATTGTTTTACTGATCGTTTTTCTATTTGAATTACGTTGCATGATTGCGACAAATGCTAACGGTTGGTTGTCAATTTTTCTTTTCGGTTCGACAAGGTCATATTCAAAATTTTTCTTTTGTAGTAGTTACACTTGAGCTTAACACTTGTGTAGGCTCGTAATATACATCTCACTGTGAGTTTTTGTCAATTCGAAATTAGTTAAATTCTTCACATTTGATTTCTAAGCCTTTTGTTATTATTTAATTTACTTTTCTATTGAGTTACTTTGATTATGATTTTAATTTTATTTGGTATACCACAACAATGCGAATTACGCTTAATAACAAAGTAATTTGGTCACAAGATAAGGCGTGTGATAAGACCATAATAATATAATACTCTTTTGGCAGCGCCCCCTAACGCTATCAATATTCTTAAAACATGTTTGTCGTTTAAATCGCAAATATTTTAGATAGCAAAGGCTTATAGCAGCAATACTAGGAGAGGATTACATATCATTCGAATTAAATAATTTGTTAGCTGCGATCTCTTTTACTAGCTTTGTGCTTTCAGTGTTTATTCAACCGGCAAACTGTGATTGTGTTTATCAGCCCGAGGGCTTTCGTTTAAGTAAAGCTACAACAAACACAAGAATGTCGACCACGCAAATGTCATAAATAACGCAACCGAAATAGAAATGACGTTATGGAAGGCATACGAAACGTATACACATATGCCATATCTTGAAAGCAAATAAATATACATATAAATAAAAAAAAACGTGCTTAACTCTTCACTGCAAATAAATTTAATAAAGAGTGCATGGAAGGGAGAAATTGTTTTTATTTTTTCTTTTTGAAGCACTCATTCATAAACACAGTTGAGTCAACGAGTTGTTTTCCCTTTGTTTCACCCTAGATGCTACATGGGTGCAAGTTGAAAAGGCAATTACCCGACTAGCGGAATACACGGCCTATCAGCAACTGGTAATTAAGTTTTTATCTTTATTTTACCATAAATGCAAAGGCATTGATTCACAAAAGAGCTGAAGACTGGCATATGGCAATCGTTTGCAACTTCAAGTTGACGTCAGACAATCGTTTATCTATGAGTTGCCATCTTAATGCGAATGAACGGCAATTTATACATCACTTTGAAGTTGTCGAAATGCACTCTAACGCACAATCAAAACTGTTTTGCCTGCTGCAGTAAAAATATACATTCAAAATATACCTTCGCATTCGGAAGGTTGTGCTAGCAAAAAACAAAAAAGTACGGATATAATTCATAAATTATAATTAACAAACACAGAGTATGCACACATATGTATATTTATTATAGAAAGCAACAGTCAGAATGGTTGAGCAACACACAAAATAGCAGCTAAAATGAATGAGGTACAAATAATGATGTCATCGAAAATTTAAATTGTTGAAACAAGTTAGCGGCGTACAACAAAAACAAAATATACAAGTATATAATAATAAATGAAACGAAAATTTGCAACGCCTAACCGTCCAATAAAAAGCATAGCCGGGAAATGACAGCGTGCAACCTTCTTCTCAAAAAATACTTGTATGATTTTCTACAGCTTTATAAGCTGATTTAGTTTAATTATTATTATTCAGCCCAATTTTCAACGACCCTAATCATATGGGATGCGAGCTTGACACGATTTTTCCCTTTCATATGACTAATACGCCGTGTTGTACCAGCTGTGAGCGAGCTTTGCAGCGTTGCATGCTGCACAAGCTTATTGCAGAGAGCAAAAGCTGCAACAGTGCTGCTGCTGCAGCTGCCTCGACGCGCCGGCCGGCCTCGACTTGCACCAAAAATAGGAGCGCCTCACACAAAAACGAAGATACGCTGCTGGTTCGGTTCTGGTGCCGTCGCCCTAATGACGCTTTCATTTCTAATTTATAGATGAGACCAAAAAATCTATATGCTCGTACAGAATGACACTAAAAATATATTGTACGAGTATATGGCTAAATTGTGGCAATGCGCGCGACTCGTTTAATCGATAAATAGCAGCGACTACAAAAATGTCTGAGGAAAATAAAAAGCGACAGGAGAATGCAGACAGGCGGCCCCAAGAAACGTGCAATGTGACAGTGAAAGGCAAAATCAAACACAAATTGTCTGTAGTCAAACAAATTTGTTTGATGTTAGTGTTTAAAAAAAAATATTGTTATTAAAAAAAACTTCAAAAACTTAAGGCAAGCTATTTATTTTTAGAGTACATAGCAAGAATATTTTCCTAGCCGGGACGCATCCGTTTGTCGTTCTGCCTTTATCATTGATTAATTACACGTTGTAGATTAGATTAGAGTGTTGCGCCCTGGCCTAATACATACTGACAGCTGATCGTAAATGTTGATAATATATGTGGTTTAAACAGTCTATTTATGATAATGACGCGTCTATGTGAGAAAAGTATGCATTGTTTCCATGTCATTGTGTAGGTCAGTAGTTGAAAGCCAAAGCCAAAAAACGCAGCTTAATTTTTTATTATTATTTGTATGAAGTCAGCGAGTACTTAATTCTATTTTTTGGCCTTTATCAAGCTTTTACTATGCCACTTTTATATATTTTTTTATAGTTGCCCTAGCAGTTTTTTGAGCGCTTGAGTCATGCTGGTATTGTTTATAAAACTTAATGTTGCCGCATATTTCTATTAACCAACACATCGCTTTGTTGTTTGGCTTTTTCATTAACATCATCAGCAGTAGAAAAAAAAGAAGAAAAATATAAGAATTCTTGCGACATATTCAAGGCTACATCAAAATTTGTATTGCTTTTTTTCACACTTCTTTTCATAGAATTTTGTATGTGCTTTTTATACATATATAGCATAGTATATGTGGCGTTTCTTTATATTTTTTTTTGGCTGCCATATTGTACGTCGCAAGTTTGCAGAGCACTTTTTTGGCTTAACGAGTGACTTCATTTTGAAACTAAACAACTTTTTATTGTGTGCTGCTCTTCAAGTTCGTTTGGCAAACAACAACAAAAGAAAGAACGACTATTTGCATGCCGCCTGTCGGACGTGTGGGTCGTACAGAAAATTGTAATTTCTATTAACCACACAGAGAATTGAAAGCAGGGCACTGTTGCTGTTCGTTCGCATTCAATTAAAACCACGTAAACTTTCTACATGCACAGATACATAGATATGTACATAAATATATGTGCATATATAAATAATATATAAACAATCTGTGACATCATGTGGCAATTGCTGATTGCTGTTTGCTGCGCTGCCAACACGGCGTATGAGCGACACGTTCTTCTTCAATTCTATTGCTTTATATTGGCTCTCTGGCCGGCAATTTATCTAATTGAATTCATTTTATATGAGCACGAGAACGTGTTTAACACAACATTATATATTTTGTAAATATTTTCAGCTACATTGACACGCGATTTTTATACAATAATTACACGTATATATTTAAGCAAACCACTAACAACGATTTCGTATGATTTGCTCAAATGTGAGGCAACAACTATTCTGCCTATCTGTTCGTTTAACGGCGCACGCACGCACACACACACCCACACGATTTCGCGTCGTTACACAACCACGTCGCTTTTCGAACTGATTGGTAAGTTGCTGAGCAACGACTGCCGAACACTTGGACCACGGCCTCTGCTACTATCACAGAGAGAGGCAGAGAGAGCTTTTTCGCTGACCGCTATGAGCGAATAACGCCGCCTCTTTTCTCTCCCTAGACTCTAAGGCAAGAGAGCTACGCGGCTGCTTAAAAATGCCGGCAATTGCTCAGCTGTTGCGTTTAGGCGGCATTTTCATAAACAATTAATTACAAAGCCGTTGGATATTTTGTGGCCAAAATCACACAATTGTTAGATTAAAGTTGAAAACAATACGCGGAAGTCAAGAGTCATGTTCGGGCAATGTTTCTATTTGATGTGTGCTTCTGCGCAGCTCGCTTCTATTTTGTTTTTTGCTTGTTTTTCAAAATATCGAATAAGCTAAGAAACCAGTTTCGAGTTGGCAGTGATGCCCAAACTAACCTTCTAAATAGCAATATGTTCGTTCACTCTATTTAATACCAGCATGCCTGTACCGCCCATGTTATGCATATCAAGTTAAGCCATCTGAACTGAAGTTTTTTTAGTAGCCAAAACATGATGTCACGCATTTGAAGGCGTCCGATTTGCTTGCCTCCGGCGACTCAAGGCGGCAACACTTTCAAAATGAAACGACTAAAGTTATATTGCTTTGTTTTTTCGTTCACAAAGTGTGCTAAATTCGTGTTGAAAGTGAACGGAAATGACGACTTAAGAAATGGCTAATTGATACATACTCGAACATATGATAGGACTTTTGAACAACCACCCAAGTAGTGCTCGAAAATGTTAATTGGCTCTTTTAATGAACTCTTCCTTATACAATTGAAAATCGTTTTGAGTCCATATTGTTCTACAATTTCTAAGCTCAGTACATTAAAAGATTTAAGATCTTATAGCCTTCTACAAGCCATCGGATTTCCATAGTTCTCTGTCCACATGCTGTGTAAAATATTTAGTTCCCAAAGGTAGCTACATTTATGAAATACTGATCCCTCTCTACAGCCCAAAAATAAGTATAAATACCACTGAATCTACATTTTGCGGCAATTCTAAATCAATTGAAAAACTAAAGAAAAAAACTACATTGTTTGAACTTGAAAAGAAATAAATAAACTATGGTCAAATCTTAGTAGTTCTATAAACAACTTGATTATAAATCGAAGCTGTTTGGAACAGTTTCTGCTCCAAAGCTGCAAATTAATTGGCGATGGTTCTACGAGTGAAAATATTGTAGCGCATCTTCTGGAAGAATTCATTCTATTCATTGTTTGTTGACAACAGCTCGTCCAAACCCACATATAAGTATGTATATAGTATTTTTATACCTACAGAGATATTTACGACTTTCTTCCTCAGCATTTCCATCAATTATGCTAATTATCACTTGAAAATATTTACACAATTCTTTAAACAGACAAGTATTTATACATTCCGATGCATAAAGTATGGCCTGTGAAGTGTCGTCATATGGCTAAAAACAAAACCTGTTGCTAATTTTTTCGTCAAAATAACTGCCTAATCGAATTTTTAATTGAATTTCTTGGAGCGTTTGAATGCATAAACAAGATACAATTTTAAGAAACCAGTTGCGTAAAGCAGTCAACAGGCATAGAAAAAGAAGAAGAGTGAGTTGACAGATTAAATAATTATAGCAGCGATGACGTTGCTTCGCATTGAAATTGGCAAAAATTAATGTGTATAGGAAAGACGCGTCTATCTGAGGTTCTATGGGAATTAAGGCGGGCGCCGGCTCATTATTATGTTCATGATACTGAAATAAATTAGAAAACTGTCTTCATTTGCCTAATTGGGCTGGACTTTTGAAATATGTACTATACACGTTTGCTTGACCAGCTGCGTATTTGTCGTGATTAAATAATCCCAATTAAAAGACACGTGACGTAACGCAATCTCCAATTTTTGTATATTTCTCAAAATATACTGTTAAGTAAGTTATTTGTTTGATAGACAAACAGCAGTCACGACCAAAAATACTTAGAATTTTTATAAATTAATCAACCAGTGATTTATGAGACCACTTCTCAAATGTTGTCACTCTCCATTGACGGCGCGCGTTCTACTCTGCTCTGCTCAGCTCAGCTCAACTCAACTGAAGCTATAGGCTCTTGTGATGTCATTATTTTTTGTGTACACGATTCTGAAGGTTAATTTAATAAAAAATAATAATAATAACAATATACCCGACAATACTTGTGTATGTGAAGCGGTAATAGATACAAAGTGCTACGCTTAGTTCGCCTATTTGCATTTCAACGGACCCAAGTGTTCAGCATTAGAAAACGAAAGCGAAAAACTAGTTTTGTGCTGAACTTGAACCTGAAGGTATTATAATTATGGCACATTTGACAACTGCTGTCGTTATTGTTGTTGTTGGTTGTGGTAATGAATATATTGTTTATGGCTAGACAATTAAGAATATGTGTACGTTTAAAAATAACTGCTGGCGTCAAATTGTTAAGCTACTAAATGCGCTCATTCGGAAAAGAGGCTGTGTTGTTCACGCTTCTTCGCAAAAAACAAAATAAAACGCAATGGGGGGGGGACTCGTTTCAACAAGGAAACGATTAGGATACTCACCAGACCATCGCTGCCATTCACTTCGATTGCTGTTTTCAGCCTTTGTGACAGTTGTTCCAGCAATCTGTCATATTTCGTATTGAGGTTGTCCAAACGTTGGCTGTAATACTGTGTGGCGCCAGGATCGCTATCCGCAGGACGCAGATCACGACGCGGTGGCGAGAAGGACGGACGTACCTCCAGTAGCCAGTCAACAAAGCGTAGGCATTTACTGTCGTAAATCTAATAGATTTCCAAGCAGTTGCCAAAACCGATGAAGACGACGACGACGACGATGTTGTTGTGCCCACGTTGACGTTGTTGTTGTTGATTTGTTGGTTGGTTAATTTCGGTTAAATGTTAGTAATTTGGTGTGTTAAACAAATTGATTGGTTGATTGTTTTAGAGAAATAGAGATAGTGTGAGAGAGGAGGGTTTATCTTGGTATATTTAGTGCTTTTTATTTGATTGATTAATCAATAAATAATTACGTTCGTAAAGAATAGCTTTTTAATTGGTTTGCTTTGTGAGTTTTTGTTTTTTATTTTCTTGTTGTAATTGTTTTTTTTTTTGTTGTTGTTGTTGTTGTTGGTCAATATTTGTTGGTTTTTGTTTTTGTTGTAAGAAGTTGTACCCAAGTGTTATTGACGCACCTTTTACCCAAACGGATCATTACTGGTTTGTATTTTAACTTAAGTAATTGAGCGCCCTTGTATTGAGCTCGAATTGTTGTTGTACCACAAAATGTATCAGTTTTAAAAAGCATTAAATATAGTTGTCAGAACAAGAAAGGGGTATATATAGGCCTAAAATGGGTAAACAATCTGAATTTGAGACAAACACACTCACTCAAAAGAAACATATGGAAATCAAGCCATGGCACATGGTATGAGGTGCAACTCTTCTACATATATCCTTAAATGCAAATACCCTTTAATATATTTATAGTTAAACAAGTAACAGTAGGCAAAATAGATACATTTAATATTATAATATAATATTAAATAATAAATTTTAAATATTAAAAACTTAAATATTCATGTTCTTGAATTTCTATATCTTGAAAATGCTATAGTGAGAAACTTTTACTATAAAAATAGCTATACCATATGTTCTAGGAAGTTTCCAATCTACAAAATTGAGCATTTTAACAATTTTCAGACACAGTAGTTATCTACATTCTTCAAAGTCAGTCATCTGTAGTCATCAACCATTTAAATGATTGCTATTAAACATTTCAGGAGGTACTGCAGATTAAATATCTATTAGTACTTAATAGATCTTAAACCTAATCAGACTTTATATTGACTAGTACAGTTAACGGCATTTGAAATTCATCTCCCAAGTTCATTTAAATCAGCTCTGAGTTATTATACTACACTCAAACATATAAACTTTTTAAGTCTTTCATTTTATAGTCAGTTAAGATCAGCTCTACGGGTAAAGCTTTTCCCCTACCACATACGAAGCATAATTTCCATTCAAAATCATACAACAAGCAGAAATCATACAGAGACGAAAGCCAATCAAAGAAATTTTTACCTTAGCTTCGCGTATAAGTCGTCCTCCAGCAACGTTGACGTTTTCGATTTTGGGTTTTCGTTCGATAGCAGCTCCCAGGAGTTTCTATATGGTTCGAGGGGGTTTTGACATATTGTTTTTTTTTTTTTGTTTTTTTTTTCGGTTTTATGGACAACATATTTTTATAATTTTAAAATTTTGGTTTTTGATTTTGTTCATTTTGTATTGTGTTTTTGTTGTGTGTGATTTGATTTGGTTTTTGTGAAATATTTTGGTGAAAATACAAAAAAATTAGACAAAAATACATATACAATTAGTTTTCAACTACAAATACAATATATCTTAGATGAAAGTGTCTGTGTGTGTTTGTGTGTATGTGTATGTGTTTGGGTGTGTTTTGTGTATGTATTGGGATTGTGTACAGGTGCAACTTAAGAGCTAAATGACAAACTACAACACACAAAAAATTAAGAAATTTTAAAGCTACTGACACAAATTTGGGAAAAAATGTACAACAATGTGTAGGTGTAGGACCACATTTGGACATCGCCACAAATAGTGGCCTCGTTCATATATACATATGTAAGTATGTATGTGTATCGTGTAGGTGTTGGCAGATGTTCTGGCATAAACTAACACCATACTACACCTTTTTGGTTTGCTAGTACACTACATTTCAATATAAAAAATCAACTTTTATATTAGACAAGACTACTGTATCGAATAACAAAGGGATAGGGAGAGGTACACATATAAGTATATAGACAGCAGTACAAAATACTGTTGATTTTTTTGGACAGTTAACAAATGGAATACATAAATTCATATACTTGTAAATATAAATGTGTGTAGAACGAAATACAACTTTGTCCAACACCAGGTCTTTAACTAACTAAAACAGAACTACATTTAACGACGGGGTACTTGCAAGGATTTGATCCGAATTTATATATACTTTGTGTTTTCTTGAAAATTTCTTAAGATATATATATGTATATATAGTATAGGGCTTGACTAACTGCATTCACTGTACAAGGTTTGCTAAAAGGAAATCTTCAACTATGTGGCTATAATAGTATACTCGTATATAGTGGAGCACAGAATAGTCTCCAAAAATTGTTTAAAATTTCATCATAAAGACACTATTAGATGATCAAAAACGATATAGAAAGTGTGCATCGCTCTACTCACGTCTAATTCGTAAGCTGAAGTCGCCGTGGGCATGGCAGAGAGACGCTCTGTGGTGCCATCCACCCATGATTCCTCGACTTGCACGCTCGATTGGAGATTCTTCATAAGGCCGATTGCCGTCTCGCATGAGCGCATTCTGAAAATGGTGGTGTGAGAATAAGCATTAGCAGGTTGTCAATGATATATATTTCAGAATATAGTTGTAAAACCTAATGAAGCGCATATACCCATATATGAAGAGACGCAGGTGCAAGGTGATGCAGGTATATTATGGTAGAGCTGTGCGTGAAATTAAGGCAGATCTCGAAAAGTCACGACTTCATGCAAGTGTACAAGAGTAAATAATAGAACAATAGCTAATAAGCATTAGGTATTCAATTATGTACTAACGGATATAATAAATACGCAAACAAAGTTATATCATATCGTATTCAGTGGTACAAGGAAAATGTATTCGACTTATGGACCTGGAAAAACTCTGTGATTTCCCGTGAATGTCACAAAAAATAGAATTCGTGGCACGTGCACAACTCCAAGACAATATCAACTTACCGTTCGCCTAGCTGATTGCAAACCGCACTCCAGCGCGTATTTAGACGCTCAACGTTTGAATGCAAACGCTTTAGATCACCGAGCACCTTGGTGGGTACGCCCATACGTCCCAGCTGATCGGCAGCATCGTTCATTTTATCCATTTGTGGTTGTTGTTGTGTAATTATGTCTTGCATGTGAGTGAGCTGTTTGAATACCATTTGCAAGCCCTCGGCCGTTGATGGCAAATCTTGATGCTTCGCCAGCTCGTTTTCCAATTCGGATATGACATGCTCGTTATCCTCCAGACCAGCCAGAGATGCTTCGAGCAATTTCAAGCGGTCCTTGTGCAGACCACTCTGTGTGTTCAGCTCCTTCCATAATTCCATTAGATTGTCTAGCGATTTCTTCAGCACTGGCGTTTTCAGTGCAATGGTGCGGAATGTCTCCTGCAAATGTTTGAGCTCCGGCTCGAGCAACTGTAATCGGCGCTCATAGTCTGCGTGTATTTCAAGCACGTGTTCCAACGAGTCCAGGTCGCGTGGCAAAGGTGCCAGTATTATCTGATCGAGCTCACGCGCCATATCCTCCAGTTTGCTCTTGATGGCAATGCATTCCTCTGTGAATATGCGACTGGCCTGCTTGCTTTCCTCTGCGGGGGGTAAAAAAATATTGTTATTATTATTGTTTTTATATATGGAGGTAAAAGCTTTCCCCAATATTACCGCGAGTCTTCGAACTCGCGAACAATTTCTTCATTTTGCTGTTAGATTCCAACTTGCGTTGTGCACGAAATTAGCCACAAGACTAAGTTAAAATTTGAGCTTGTCAGCCGAACCATGCCCGCATTGCTCCATTAAATTCAATTAAACATTTAATTGGCCCTAGAGGCTCACTGCTGACAGCTGGCGGTTGGTCGTTCCCGACGTCATCGCTAACGTGGCAGATAATTGAATTGCGACTAAATCGCTTAAACTGTAAGCTACACCCGACATACACGACATAATGACCACTAGGAGCACACGCCCACACACATATATGTATACATGTATTCCGACCGCCCACACTCACCTTCGGCGCGAGCACGTTTTTCAAACTCATCGAACAAACGATTGACCTCGTCCATCTCGCGTCGCAATCGTCTTAATTGTGGATCGTTGGGATCGCCTTCACTGAGCAATTTATCAGCATCGTCATTCAAGGCGCGTCTGATGGCCGTCCGCTGTTCCGGGCCCATGGCCAGAAACTGATCGAAATCCCAGCCCTTGACAACGCGTATGGTTGCGAAAATCATATTCTGACGCAGACGCAAATGTTTCTTCTGCCAGAGCGCAACTGAGCGATCGAAGAGACGCTTAAGACGTTCCGCAGCATCAATGGCTTCCTGATCGGGTGGCGGCAACAGTAGGCAAGCACCGGGTATGGAGCCCTCCTGGCCCTTGGCTGTGCGCACACGCCATTTGACGCGTCCGGAGTTATCCAGAAGAGTGACTGTCTCGCCCTTGTCGATTTGCAACTGACCCTGTTGTTTGTATGCGCAAATGGCCTGCACAGGTCCTTGACGGTTGACCGGTTGTCGGCGCTTGTTCAACGGCACAATGGTTTGTGCACGGCGTTGCAGATTTGCCACTGTCTCGCCAAAGCTATTGAGCTCCTCCCGCAAATCTTGCATGCCGCGTAACAGGGACTCTCCTTGGTCTAACCCGAAATCGGACTGGGAGAACTTACTGTTCAGTATCTCATCTCGTTTGCTCAGCCATTGCTCGGCATCTTTAATTTCGGCAAAGAATTGATGATATTCCGTGGCATGTTTCAGATGTACCTCCAGGCAGAGCGTTAGCTGTAACAGCCACGCCCACTGCTGTTGTAGTGCCGTCAAATGGGCTTCAACGCACTTGGAGGCTGGATGTTGTTGGTTGAGCAGCGCCTCACCGCGATCCAAGATGGTGGCAAAGTGCATCTCGCGCTTCTCCAGTTCGGACATAAGGTTCTATGGGAAGGGTGAGAGTTAGTTTGGTTAATACCATAACTTATCAATGTCGTATAGGATATAAGGCTAGTGAGCTAGCAAGTGCACTTGGTTGGATGAGTTTTTGTTGCTGTTTTGGTTTTGAAAAATCACACATCAATACTGATGGGCTGGAATAATTCGATCTTACCTCGTCGCCATTACCAAATGCACGCTTGTAATTAGATGAAGCACGAAACAAACGATGAGACATAATAGTTGGTGCCAAAATATAGTTGCAAGTTGAATGTCAACATGTTATAATAATTTGATACTATCCACTTACTTGCAAGCATATCAGCTACATGTACATGTATATAGTATCTAAACCACTCACCTCATAATATCTGTGCACTGAAGGCAAATCGAGTTGTTTGTCCGCCCAGTCGCGCGTTATTTCAACTTGCTCCTTCTCGTTGAGCCATTGCAACTCTGCAGATGCTTGCGCCAAGAAGTGCTGCAGCGAATCCAAGTCGGATAGACGCTTCGTTGAGGTGCTAAGCAGCTCAGCATAGACCTTTTGTAACTGATTTAGTCTTTGCTGATACAAATTCAATTCATCGCCGGAGAACTTGCTTTGATGACGCTCGTCGTTGAGTATTTTAGAATGGAATTGATCGATTAGCTTATGCTCATGTTGCTGACGATCGAGTTCCTCCTTGACTGATGGCAAATCGCTGCCATAATCAGCGGCAAGTAATTGTTTCTATATTAGAAGGGATGAATATTTTTTAGCAACGATTAAGTAAAGAATCTTAAGCAATACTCACCAGTTTGTTCTGGCACCATTCAATGTGTTCGAGAAGATCGCGGAAATGTGGGTTTGTGTCGATCTGACGGGACTCGACAACCATGCGCGTTTGACGCGTAACAGTTGTCTCATGGACGGGATATTTCAAACCCGACAGTTTCTGTACTAGGTTAGTGTGGAAATTGGTGCGTAATTGAGCCCAACGTTGATGCAATTTGTTGACCTTCTTGTGTAATTCGCTCACATGGGGGTAGCGACCCTCGTTGAGCACATGGCAGTCCTGATTCATGTCCTGTATAGGTTCCTCCAGATGTCTAATCTCTGTTTCGAGAGCCTCCACAATGTTCTTAGCATCGACGGGGTGCAAACGTTCAATGCGGCGACCCTCCTCGCTGATGCGTGTCTCCAGATCGGTCAGCTTAAGATCTACATGCTTGATTTCACGCTGAACCTTATCGGCCAAGCGCTGCAAACGCTCCAAACGTTCAATCTCTTGCTGCAAAATGACTTCACGGTCCTGCAAAGCAGTATTCATGCGATACCAGGCCTTTTCAATTGCCTCTGGCCGTAGCTCAGGCTCCACATCTACCTCTCCGACGGTCTCAAAATATCGCTCAAGCTCCTTATAAATTTGAACAAGCTTAGTCTTCTCACGTTTACGTGCGCTAACCTCATCGCTGCGGAAACGCTGCAAATCGCTAAGCAGACGCTTCATTTCGATCAGAGTGGGCGGGAATGAGCGCTCCTGTAAGTAGGCGGTCTTCTCGCGGCACCAGTAGATAAACTGTTGAGCCAAATCACGATATTCGTGGACGCGACGTTGCGACTCCATATCAAAGAGTGGATGTATGGATGGTGGCTCTGGGAATACATCGTACAGCGAGGAGATGTACGTGATTAGGGATTTCTCATCAGGTTCATTGGTATCGACATCTAGAAAGAAAATTAGAAATTAATAGATGATATTTTAAAAAACAGAGCTATTAAAAAACCTACCCTCTGGGTCCAATAGACGCGTGACACCATATTCCTTCTCCACAATGTGGAAGGCAGTCTCTAGACGCTCACGCGGCCGATCGGTCCTTGCCTTTCGCCAGTCAAGCAAGTCCGGTCGGTTGCGGTGCACCAGAGCCGAGAAGGCCAGGCCATCACGCCACGACGACGTAAAGTCATTGACACGCACACCGGGATACCGAGCAGTAGAGCGGCGTGCCCAACGCAAGAGAGCCTCGCGTGCAGATACGTTGTCCTCCTTACCAACAACAATGTCGGAGATCTGTAACAAAAAGAAAACGTTAATAACTGTTTGGCAAAATATCATACACTAAAAACTTCAATAGGAAGTGATTTCATTGAAACCGACGGTTTCCAAAATGAAATAATGAAACACGTCGAACCCGCAATATTATTTCCCATTCCAAATTCAGTTTAAGCATTATACTAATTATATTTGCATGAACGAACGATAACTATATCATTTGTAGTAAATGGAGCAAAACTGTGGCTAAAAGTTGACAGATACTAGACTCCTTCGTTTTACCTCTCTACGCTGCGTGGTAGTCGAAGATTCGATAGCCGGTGGCAGTGCGCGACGATACTCCAACTCTGAGCTGCGTAACATTTTTGCAGGAGGGAGTAAATCCTCCGGAGGTTGTTGATTTTCCTCGGCACGACTCAAGGTCGTAACCTTGCGGACAATATGCGTAGTAACACGTCGATGTCCGTTGGGTGCACGTTGCGATGTCTTAGTGCTCTCTACACTAGATCCTAGGACCTCGGTAGATATGCGCTTGTTGCGTGTCACGTGCTGATACGAGGAGCCGGAGCCACTCGTCAGATTAGATGCAGTCACCGGAACCACAGACCGATTGTCCGAGGCTAAGAGACGCCGGTTGCCAACGGCGTCCTGAAAAGTGACGGTGCGCTCAAAATTGGAGCGCTCGTGAGGTATAGTTCCTGGCGGCGCCACACCTGGAAAATCCGTAATCACCGCCTCGATAGTTTTCTCATGTTTCATTTCCCGGCGATAGCGAAGATTCTGATCATCAATATTGGTCGTAATGGGTGGTCCTCGGGACATATGCACGACTTCATTGCCGCTGCTCACTGTGTCGCCAGGGCCGCCGCCGTTTCTGTGCCTCACGAGCTGATGCGACCGCTGAAGCGTTGACTGGGAGCTGGAGCTCGAGCGCATGGTGTGATGATGTTCGTTCGTTTTGTTCGTTGTGGTCGTTTATTTGTACCGCGGTTTACTTTTTTTTTTTTAAACTTGTTTCTTTATGTTTTGTTCGCTTCACTTGATTTCGTTTTCGCAAATTCGTTTCAATTGTCTATTTCTATCCTGTTCTGTTGTACGTTTTTCCTTTCGTAATTTAGCTATTTTTGTGCGTGATTTCAAAATTATTTTAATTGTCCTCTGGCCGCGTCGCGCACTTCGTGCCCACAGACAATTGAAGTTGCCACGCAATTTGCGTTTAATTAAGCCGAAGCTTGACTCCGGTAACGAAACCGGCACTGGTACCGTCATCAGCACCGGCACCGGCACCGGATGTCTTGTTCTATTGGCCATCAACTGGCCGACCGGCGCTGCCCTAGACCCTGCCCCTGAACATTGTGCCGCAGCTAAGCCATTCACTATTGCCGTTATTGTTGTTATTATTGTTGCTCTTATGGTGTTATTGTGCGATTTAAGGCTGGCAAACAACCCAAGCCAGGTGAGCGAATTATTTATATACATATACACATCATTATTTAGTGTTTTTGCTGTATCTGCCTTTGGTTAGTCTCTTCTTTTTGTTTTTTGCACATCTCCATAATTAAAGTTCATGTACATGAAGTTTCGTCGCTTCTAGGCGCTGATTCATGAGCTTGCGATGGCGATGTTGTTTTTGTTGTTACTTCTCTAGGCAAACACGCAAAGCAATTTGCATGCACGGCATGGGGGAACATAGTGGTATGGAACAGCGATAATACCGTATACCGTTATTGTTGAAAACACAACATTATGGCAGTTGCCTTATAAGAGTAGCGGATAGTTTGCCTACAGAACAGAAACATTTAAACACAGAAAACTATCGAGTTAACAATTCTTATAATGACAAATTGTCATACTAAAAACAATAGCTTGGACTTGAAATTCTGTAACCAAAAATAAATTAACAGCCTCTTAAGATCTATTTAGAAAATAATCTACAGAAAAAGTTGGAAAATCGGAATATTCTAGCAGAAAATCGGGGCAGATGATGGTCGGGGTGTGAAAAGAATGACTTTGGTAGAAACTGGTAAGAATTCTATAAAAACAAATTCCTTTTAAATCTCGAAGTAGATTAGCATTTGAGTGGCAACAATTACAATAGCTGCATTTAAAACTACTCAGCAGTCTAAGCAATATTTAAATGGAGCTAGATTTTACACAGTTGTAAAATATTAATTGATAGAGTTTCAAATAGGTAGTAAGGGCTACCAGAGCGATCATTAATGGTATTGTCTGAGACTAGCCGTACAAATTTAAGTAGATCCACATCGTAAGTTGAAAATTTGAAAATGATAATGCATTATGTAGCAAGATCATCATTCCCCTTGGTCTTAAGAGGGCAAAATGAATCAGCAGCAGAAGGAATGTTCTGAGGACCTTTATGAATCCCACTGTAAACAGTGTGTACTGAAGATACTAAGATAAATAAAAGAGCTAATTTTTTAGAAAAGCGTAAATATATAATTTTTGGCATCGCGTTGCTGAGACGGGAAGTTTTGGGTCTAACTGACCAAATTTTCATTGCAAGAGTGCGCAGAACTGTTAAATTCCAGAATTGAACAATTTTTAGGGTAATAAATTCGGAGCCCTACCTAAAAATTCTAAAATTTCTTTGTCTTTTCTATCTTTCTCAATATCACAAATGTTAACTGTAGGTGTTGTAAAACGTTATTAAAATTATATTATTTGATAAGCATTTGATTCGCTTGTTGTCGTTTCGATTCAAAAACAAATACAAACAAGAAACGTTGCCGTGAAATCGTCATAAAACAATCAGAATGTATGCTTGGTGGCTTCATTTTTGAGTCAAGTGCGACATATTGTTGGTCAAGTTAAAAACGCACGCCCACACCCACTCAGATCAAGTATGAGAAGGCTACGCCTGCGCAGCAAACATCGCGACGTGACTTGGCCATGGCTGCCACACATCGTTCTACACACGAAAAATGCTAATTGCAACATTTCAACATTTTCAACAGCTGCAGAAAATGTTCAAATACTGATTTACAAAGCATTAACGTTTTTGTTTTTTATTTCTAATGTGTGTGTTTATGTGTGATTATGGCCAAATGCTGTTGATCTTGGCCATTTACGTGTGTTTGTGCGTGTGTGGAGGCGTCACTAAGAGGCGTTAATGGCTTGACATTTTCAATGGCTTTGAAACGGTGGCGGCTGCTGCTGCTGATGTCTAACTGGCTACCTGCCTGCCTGGCTATTGCCTATTTGGGTGGCTTGGCTACTGTTTGATGTTGACGACAATTCGATAGTTGAAATATTTTTTATGTATACACAAAAATTTGCATTGTACTCATGGCTGGTTCATAAATATATAGCCAAGCAAATTCAGCAGCTGCTGTGACCAAACGGTTTTTTTTCACTCTTCTTTTTATGGTCATAACATCTGCCACGCTGTCACTTGCAGCAAACGAAGATAGAGTGAGAGGAACATCAACAACAATAAAAACAAACAAACATTCATTAAACAAATTATTTTCTATAAATATATGGTCAAGATTTATAAACAGGCGGCGAACGCGATGATAGCACATAAATTTAAATTAATAAAGCAGCGAAAACAACGACAATAACAAAGAGCTTGAGGGGCACTTTAAAAATGCACACAGCAACAACAACAAAACTGAGTTCTTAATTTTTGTATTTTTTTAGCCTGCGCACTGAACTAGAACGCAACAACAAAATGAGTTTTTGCTGGCGAGCTCTGAAAAATTGAAATTGAAGCCGACTCGTTGCCATTGCCACACGTTGTTGCAGTTGTTCTTGTTGTTGGTGGTTGGGGCTGCCACCATATGGTAGCCAACAAAATGCACGTCATTATTTTACAGCTACTTTATTACATTTGCCAGCCATTTATTTGCAAACAAACACTTGAGGCGCATCCGAAACACTTAACTCGCTGTAAGTGTGTGTGCGTGTGTCAGTCTCTGTATGTTGGTGCGTGTGTGTGTGTGCTTTTAATAAACTCGTCATAAAAAAGTAATTGAAGGAAAATTGAATTCAATTGCAACAGCAACGATATTGAGATTGAAATCAATTGAAATTGGCGGCATTTAATAAATCAGAGGAAACTGATTGCCATGCCATATAATGGCTTTTGAGAGTGGCTTTAAGCTGCTGACATCATGCACGCATTATGACAACAACAAATAAATCCAAATGGGAATGGACTGTTTGCGATGCTTGAAGGAGAAGGAAGAGGATGAAGATGAATATGATGGCGGCGCCAGACAACACTTGAACAATTAATTTGCAAGCGTGTCATATTTGGCTTATTCAAGACTGCTCTTAAGCTATTTTTATAGTTCTGCTTTATTGTTGTTGCTATTGTTGTCCATATTGTGGATTATACTTTTTGCAAATTTCTTATAACGCGCCCGACGAAGCGTAAACCGCACGCGGCGACGGAAAAAGTTCTTCTACATTCAAACGACAAATAAGTGCGGCGTCTCAACAACGACTAAACACGATCGGGCCAAGTTAAAACGCTTAAAGTGTTGCGGCCAGGTGTAGAGCCGCAGTCAACGTGAACATCGGCGTCGGCGTCAACGTCACTGCCAACGCTATTGTTTGCGCTTTACAGCGCGCGAGAATGAAAAAAAAAACACACACACACTTAAATTAACAGCAACAACAACACTGACAATGTTTGCTATTTTGCGCAGCACCAAAAAAATATAACCACTTTGAAACAAAGTGGAATTGGTACACGACTACAAGCCGGCGTTGGCGTTGGCGTCAAGTCAAGCTTAACCGCGACGGGCACATATGGGATGGCGTTCGGCAGTGAGTGTGTATGTGTGTTGGTGTTTGCTGTCGACAGCGGCAGCAGCAGCAACAACGTCGCCAACCCCCGTTATGGATTGTTGACTTCGTGCTTTTCTATTCTGTGTTCCACCTGATTCTGCAGCCTCTGCTACTGCTGCGGTTGCTTTGATGACGTCCACACCTGTGTGTGTGTGTGTGTGTGTGTGTGTGTGTGTGTGTGTGTGTGTGTGTGTATGTGT